GGTTGGTCTCTTCTCACTGATGACAGGGTGAGGGGAAATGGCCTCAAGTTGCGCCAGTGTAAGTTTAGTTTGGATATCAGGAAACACTTCTTTACAGCAAGGATTGTTAAGCACTGGAATAGGCTCCCCAGGGAGGTGGTTGAGTCACCATCCCTGGTTGTGTTAAAAAACCGTTTGGATGTGGTGCTCAGGGACATGATTTAGCAGAGGGTTGTTAGGGTTAGGGTAGTATGGTTAGGTTGTGGTTGGACTTGATGATCTTTAAGGTCTTTTCTAATCTGAGCAATTCTATGATTCTGTTAAAAAATCTGATAGCTAACTTAGGGAAAATAAGTTCCACATAATTAATGTTAGCATTGTTAATCAGGATATTTGAAAGAAAAAATAATTTTTCTCCAGAGATGAAAAGAAAATCCTATCTTTTTGAAAATGGGGGTTTTGTTCATTTCAGTTCTGAGGAAAATGAAGAACTGGCTGGGATTGGGCAAAATGAAGGCAAATTCTGAAATGCCCTTTCAGAACTGTTTCACTATCCTGACATGAACTTTCTCTGATATCCCAGTAGTCTTCAAAGAATAATGTTGGTAATACTGCAGAGTTCTAAATTATGATTTGACAGTGCTAAATTCTGACTATTCATAACTTTGTGTATGAAAAAACCTGATTCATATTCTCAAATAAAAGCATCACTCCAGTAAAGTAGGCTATGGCTTTTATGCAGAATGATGAATGATGTCCAATATTTAAAACTAATCGATTGTTACTTTTGTCTCTCTTCATTCTGGTGTTCTTTTGTTTCCCATTTATGTAATGTGGGGTGGAGAAAATGACAGATAACACACTTGTGTCATGAACAATTATTGCATGATTCGGCAACATCATACATAAAGGAACAGTAAGTGACAGATAAATAGGAACTGTTATGCTGCATTAGACTAATGGTGCACATAGTTCAGTGCCTCTTGTCCTGCAGAGAGCCAGTTCTAGGTGTCTGTGGATCTGGAACTGATGGGTTTGCACCTCAGCATTTCACAAAACCTCCATCAGCTCTGTGACAGCCCCTCTGCATGGCCTGTCATTTGGGGAAAACAAGGAACAGACTTTTCAACAGAAATAGGTACTGTTTCACATCACTGTTAGCTCTGAGGACATCTCGAGCCTGACGCATTATGTTTGGTTCTGACAGCTGACTCATCTTTGCACATCCACTGAGTGCTCATAAATCCTAGCTTCAGTTTTGTATCTAAGGTTTTCAGTATATTGAAAGTTTCAGTGTATTGAGAGTTCCTTCTGACTTTAATTAGCTAGCAGGGCATGCCAAGAGTTTTGAGCGTGTAACAGACTTCCTTCTTTCCTTCTGTGCCCTCTGTGTCACTTTTCACATCAAGGATTTTGAGCTGATGTATCTTGACCTTCATCTTAGTGGAAGTGGTTGTAGCTGCCACTTCCATTGTTCTGCTCAAGTGTTAAAACATTTTTAAATATTTAATTAAAGAAACTGCTCGTGCCTCTTCTTTTTTTTTTTTTTTTTAAGATGTCACCCATATAAAATAAAAATATCAAATTGGAGATGGCAAAAACACAGAGTAAGGAATAGACTCGGCTGCCTGTTGGACAGTAAACAATGTCAGTGTCAGTTGCTCGCTGGGGTCTTTTCGCAGTGCTGATCATAAACACTTTTTTAATGTAAACTTGAAGAAGAGGTGGCATGTTGAGAAGACTTGTCTCTCCTATGCATGACTTTAGGCAAAGAAAGGCATTCTGTAACATGTAATTCTAATTTTGTTGCTAAACATATGTTGAACGGTGCTGTTGCCAGCTCTGCAGGGAAAGCATGCGTGTAGGTGTGGGTAGGCGAGGGGCAAATTCCATTCCAAGAGCCAATGTCTAAACAGTTCTACTCAAAGAGCAGTGTCAGCCTAATGCTCTAATTCCAAGGGGGATTCTCGACATTGCATAGTAAAATTACTTTCTAAATGCAGTCAAGGCAGCATACAGATAAGAAGGCTAAATTCTAATAATTGGAGTTCAGTGTTCTTTGACTATGTGAAAATAAAATTAGCTGGCCACTGATATCATTATTAATGTATGAGATGAGGCAGAAATATAGCATTGGCCCTAACAACACTTTGCCCCTTTGCCCTTTTCTCCCTTCCCCACAAAAAAGCATTAAAAACATGCACAAGGGCCTTCTGATACACGTTGCATCACTACAGTAATAAAATGTAGATAATTTATAAATGATCTTAACTTGAATGCAAGACATTTTGTAAACAGTATTTATTACGTTCCCATTTAGATTAACATATAAAAGAAAATGTCCATTATCAATAACATTGCTTATTTTCTAACCAGGTGCAGGAATTGTACTTTCAGCTACTCTAAACCTAATGTGTCCTTTTATTACTCATGAGCAGCTATTACAACTGTTCAGTTACATATCTCTTAAAGTAGTCATACTGCAATCTCTGCATTTTGAGTGGCTCGCAAATAAATAAAACAAGCTTTTTTGCGGAAAAATGATATTCTACAAACATAATTAAGTATTAAAATCTACATTTTTATGAATATAATGTCTTTGTACATAAGATGAATCCGCTGTAAAAATCTAAGAGGTTTTGCTTCCTTTTGTCATTAGGAGTAGCATAAAAGATTTTTTTTTTACATTGCAACACTGAGCACATCTTATGCCCTTGAAAATGAACTGCCATGAATTTTGTTAAGGTTCTGTTCTCCATTCTCATTTTCACACTCAATGAGCCACTACTGTTTCAGTCCAAAAGGGATCAGTCAGTAAAGCTGCATGATGAAACTAGTTGCAGAGTCTAGTCAGATTCTTTAAAACTCATTTGTATTTAGCCAACAGTCTCAGACTGAGCTGCAAATACTGCTCAGAAATACAGCAACGACTGCTTTTTTGAGTGTAATTTGGGAATACGTAATCATATTCATGAAGAAAAAAAAAAAAACCTTAAAAATTTATCACACATATCATGTTATCTGTATGATTTTATAAATATTAAAATTTATTAGCATCCAAACACTTTTTATTTGCATGAATAGATCTGTGTTTTTCCTAAAAGAAAATATTGTTAGTAACACATGACTTTTTATTAAAATTCAGATGTTGGTAAAAGATTAATAAAACTCCACAAAGTAGAAATGTAGGCTCATTGTAAGTTTGTCATGATAAACAGTGTGGAAGTCTGGCAGTAACACAATCATTTAAACTGGTATTACATCTTCTGAGACTGTGATGAGGAAAGAAAACATGAAATTTTTCTTTTGTATCCTCCCTCAAATGCTGCTGGGCACTCCAGAAAGACTCTTGAATGGGCATAAAGCAAAAGGCAGCAAGAGGGGCTGTGTGCTGAGCTTAGGTTCGGGGAGTAAGCTCGCATTGCTGTCCTGTATCGTTTGGCAGCCAGGATTAATACAACATGATGAGAAAGGGCATGTAGGGCTTTCAGGACAATGTCTCTTGTGATTATGGGCAGGGCCTGCTCAGGGGTGGCAGCAGAGGTGGCACAGAGGTCTTTGCATCTCACGCATCTGGCCTGGCCACCCAATTGTTGGACTAAGGAAAGTAAAAGAAGCAGTGGTGGATCTTGGGCAAAAATACCAAATTATTACCTTGATCTTACTGCTGTTAAAATCAGTAGGCATTTTGACACTGATGTCAACCGGTGCTGAGCAGGCAAAAACATATAACCTCATACAGAGGAGGTCTTGACTTAACCTCAGACAGAGGAGGTCACAACTATCGTACCTCATAAATGATAACTGTACATCTTTCATCGGAAAGTGACACTTGATGACTAGAAGTTAGCTTACTGGCATGTCACCATAGCCACCAAACTTTGGTTTTGAACACTTTCTGATAGAACAAGCATCCTCTGATTCAGTGTAGAGTCAGGCCTCAACAGTTCCCAGACAACTAATTTTTTGGGTATTCAAAGCAAATTAACTAAGATTTGCATACTTGTTTTTAACTGTGGCTTCTCTTCGGCTGCCAAACCAATGTTCTAGTTCATTTCTTCTTTTGTTTCTGTCAGAAATGTCATCGTCACACTGAGCAGAATCTATCACTGCAGGTTGAAAGCAACTCAGCTCCACCGGCTGCCTCCTACCATCTAGTGGCACCTTCCACACACTGCTCACTCAATTGGAACAACTGATTAGAATAGTTATGCAGAGAATGATAAGAAATACATACTTCTGAGTGGAGAAGAAACATTGTTGTGAAAATGAAAAAAAAAAAAATATATATATATATCATATATATAAATAAGTTATGGGAGCCTAGAACAGACTCAGTGGTCTAAATTAGTAATGTCAGAGAAAAACTCTGCATGTGGTGGTCTCCAAGAGAGTGAGTCAGGTTTGTTGATCGAGTTCTTATTTTTGTGGTAGCACATGGATTTTATGTTGAAAATTGCAGAATAAGACTATTTACACTAAAGAAATGCCTATTGGAAACACGCTTGGTTTGCTGCTTACATAGACATTTAAATAGCCCAAACAAAAATTAAAAGACTATAAAAAATGAAGAGGAGATTATAGTTTCCTTTTTATTTCTACAATTTTATTACGTGCTTTTTGTAATAAATGTTTCTATTTCACTTGAGAAAAGGCATTAAATGTCAATTTATTAAGAATCTCAGTTTGGGGAGTTTTCAATCAAAAGGCAGGTTCTGACTAATTATATGGCTCTGAACAAACATGAATCATCTAAAATGCTTTCTATTCTCTGAACAGAAACTTTTTTTCTTTATTTTCAAGAAGTGCTGGTTTTGGTGAATTAGACTACAGAGGAAACCAAATTTCTATCAAATTCTGAAAAAGGTCTATTTCTTTCTTTCCCCCTGCAGCAAATTAACAAGGCAAATTGACAGAAGCCAGAATGCAGGAACTCTGCTTCCAAGATACTTCTTTTTTCTTAAAAATTTGTGCTATTCAGTATTCCAGTCATATTCATACATTATCATCATATTTTCCAGGGTGGAAAAATTCCCATCCGGTGGACTGCTCCTGAAGCTATAGCTTACCGCAAGTTCTCTTCAGCAAGCGATGCGTGGAGCTATGGGATTGTAATGTGGGAAGTGATGTCCTACGGTGAGAGACCATACTGGGAGATGTCCAATCAGGATGTGAGTACTCTACAGGACTAATCTGAATATAGCTGAAATGATCCTTGAAAAATTGTCTCTTTCTCTGTCTTCCTTTGCTTTCTCATTCACTTTCTAGGCTGGAACCTGAACTTATTTAAATCAGTATAACTCCATCAATGGAATAGTTAATTTATGCAACCTGAAGACTTGACCCACTATTACTAATACCTTGATGAGTTTCATCCAAAGGATTAAAGACATATTACAGAGTTATAGGCAACTTGCCAGGTTCTGATGCTAGATATATGTGGCTTTCATCCAAATCCTTGGGAATCTGCATCAGATATGCAGTTTGATGCAGTTCTCAGCTAAGCTATAAATCAAAATTTGAGGGAATACTAGAACTATTCTGATGATAAACTTGTCCCATTATCTCCATTACACTCAGATGGTACCCTTCAGTAGGCACACGTGGATAAATGCTAAAGGAGTAAAAGTTAAGCTTCCGTGAGCAATGCATTTGCAAATTCTCCTTTTTACAAATTAAATGCATTATTAAGTTTTAAGAATTTAAAGAATTAAATGTATATTATAAGTCCTTAAAGACTTATAGGCTTAACCACAGTGCAGGACAATAGTCCTCCCTCTTAACAAAGTAATACTTTCCTCTGACGTGTTTGCAAAACTCACAGCCAAATAAGTTTTTCCAGTTAAAACACGTTTACTTGCAGTAACACTGAAGGCTTGTCCTAGCAAATGTCAAAAAGAAAAGGGAGAATGCCTTTTTATCCACCACAGTTTAAATTGCTACTGATTTTGTTCTCTGATGCATACGTACCTCTGCTCAAACTGGCATAGTCATTCTTCCCACCAGCCATCAACCTTTATGTCAAAATGCAAAATACCAGCCAACCCATCTTAACCTCTCTATGTGAATAGAATGCCTCTGCATGGGATCTGAAGAGCTGACAAGACTTTTCCCAGACGGCTGTTTTCATACTGTTGCTAAGTTATTCAGCTGTTCAAGTCTGGTTGCTTGTTAAGGCTGATCAGTCATTTGAGGATAAGGATCTGAGAAAGGTTTTCATTAAAAAAGTATCATTTCAGAGTATTAAAAAAAAAAAAAAAAAAGACAAGTAGAACTTAAAAAACTTAGTAAAGCCTTATTTCCTTTGGACTTGTACTTAGTACTACATATCCTACTTTTCTCCAGCATTTTGTTTGTGAGTTACCCTTTGGAATAAGATCACATCTCCTGTACATTATTCTCCCTTAACAATACCTACAGCTTCTATCCCCTCTCTACACATCTACCAGAGAGCAGCCCAGCTCCCTGCTCTGCTGGGAGCTGATTGTCCATTTGAAGAGCAACCACTGAGCTGAGACACACCTTTTCCTTCAGCAGAGACATTTTGGTACTGCCTGAACTAACGCTTCACAGATCTACTGTCAAATAAGCAGATGAGCCCAGTAGGCTCAATTCTATTTTATACCACTAGCAATGCATTAACAATTGAGATGGACCAGAGTAAGTAAGATCTGCAATGTGTCTGATGCAGGATACACAGGAGATCCAAGTTATTCAGGAGCAACAACTGAAGACAACCAGGGAGGAACTTTAGGAAATTTAAAATTAAACATCTCTGCTTAGATAACTGAATTAAACTCACTTTTTTTTTTCCCCGAGGCACAGTGTGCAATCCTCTGCATGCAGATCTCTCACGTATTTAGGTCTCTGTTTCACACAACTGAATATATCAACAGTAAACTTCACATTCTGCCCAGCTACTGATTTTAAAACAATGTGTTTAATTTGATTTAAGTGTGCTGGATAGGTTTGAAGTTAATAGAAGTGAATGAACAGGCAGTCAGGTTAATAGTATGAGTACCTACCCCAGCTGTTTCCTTTCCTAAACAGAGAAATGCTCGTCAGCACCTGAACTGCCACAGCATACAAGCACTGATTCCCAGCAAAAAGCCATTGTTTTCCTTAAAATGCCACACTGTGAGATGTGGTGTTTTAGGAGATAAGGAGTTAAGACATTTCTTGCAGCCTTGCAATAGCAGAGGGTGCTATTCTTGAGTTAATCTTCCATTCAGAAGCAAAGCTGAATGCAGTCAAGGCAGTATCAGCCTGTCCATTATACACATGCTGTTGCAAAAGCTGATTACTCTGCATTGCATGGAAGGCACTTTATATCTCACACTTTCTACCTCCCCAAACTAACAGAAGCAATGGTTGGTTTCATTGTGAGCCTTCCATTAAGGTGAGATGGAACAGAACGTGAAACAATATTAGCATATCACAGAACAGCAAAGGTTGAGGAACCTTTCAAGATTGTCTCATCCAACTCCCTCATGCAAGGTTAGTTGAAGCAGTTTGCTTGGGCCACCTCTCTCCTGGATTTTGAACACCTCCCAGCCAGGGCAACCTGTGAAGGTTCTTAGTCACCCTTGCAATAGAAGAATATATTCTCATATTTTTATGGAATTCAGTATTTTTCAGTTTGTGTCCACTGCCTCTTTTCCACTCAGCAGCTCTGAGAAGTAAGAACATTAGCTATCTACAGGTGAGGAGATCTCATTCTTCCACCCCAATAAGCCTTTCCTAGTTGAGGGCCTGTACTACCCATAAATGTAGCTATGGCTCACAGTCCTTTTTGCTCTTGCCCCTGTCAGTTGCTACTGTCATGCTACTCTGAGCATATCACGGGCAGTAGTCATTCACCTGGATTTCTTCACTATGTAATTGGTATTTTACGTTTCAGTTCCATCTGCAGCACACTGTTCATGTTTTTTTAGATTATTGAAGTCCATGTAGCCAGAACAAAGACAGTCCTATTATGATTCCTGGCTTCCATGCAGTGTCTTTCTGTCGTGTCACCTCCCTGTAACTCTGTCTCTGCCTTTAATTTTCTTACTCCACTTATCTAGCTCCAGGTGATGAGCAGCTGTTAGTAACTGCAACTCAAGCAGGTGTGGAGAAGAGAACGCTTCTCTGATGCATCTTTGTGTCTCACTATCACTCAATCTTGTGCTATCACATGGAGAATCTCAGTCTCTATCCTAGTTCTGAGTCATTTCATCTGGTGTTGGGTTAACTCTCTATAAGAAATTCAGCTGCCTTCACCTCTTTTACCTATGTAATCTTAATACTTCCCTTCACGTGGGCTCTAAGCCAGCCCTTGTCTTTTCCTTTTCTGTTCCTTACAACTGGATACAGAAGAAGTGGAAAAGGGAAACTTTCCCAAGTATGTATGGCCCTGCTATTCACCTCCTTAGAGAAGGTTTCATGTGATTTGTAGGACCCTTACAAAGAACTCAAGTGGCTAGGTTAGAGTCATATGCAACACAGAAATTCATTTTTCCCTTTCTTTAAATCAGGCTTCAGGCCCGTTCTCTTCCTTCTGTCAGAAACTACAGTTTATTCAACACTATGCCAGCCATGACAATTCATTAGTGACCCCTCCATTTAGGGCATATTAAATATTCTGCTACAGAAGGAGGATAACAACATTTAAGCACTTGTACATCCAAAATATAAGTATCTGTTAGCACAGAATAATGATTTGGGCCCTATGGATGCTGCTTATGCTAATGATGCAGACTCCTGAGAGCTCTCCCTGCTGTTCACCAATGCACAGTGAAAAGGGTTCCTTTACTCTGGAGCCCTGCCCACAGGCTTCTGCTGCTGAAATGTTAACAACAAGTACCTGTGACTTTCTAAATACATTTAGTGACTCTAAGTGCCGTTGGGAAATTTCAAGTTATTAGATATATTGTAAATCTTATTTTGCTGGATTTGTGGGCATATGCTTCAGTACAGTAAGTTATCCTGAATCCACATGAGCTCATTTTGCAGAAATAATAGGACTTTCTCAAAGGTTACTGATACTGTATAGATGGCAGGGAAAGTAACAGGAAGGAGCATGCACTAAATAGATTTATAAAAGACTTATTATACAAACAATTGTTGGTAAGGACTTGCATACATATAGTCAACATTCTGCAACAGCAAAATATCTGTCAATACTAACAGTACAAGACTTTATTTTCTGGGAATTGTGTTTTGATAAAAATCTTTTTTATTTATAGAATTGAGGGTTTCATAGAGCACCAGAAGTTTTCACCCTACAAACTCCTCAGTTCTGGGGTATTTTTTCTCATGCTGTCTTGTAAATTGCTTTTCTCGCTAAAAAACTTTGGGAAATTAGTTCACTTTTTGGTCTAGCAGCTAAATTGTGTTTTGAGTGGCAGCAGCTGCTAGTTAAATGTATGTTTCTCATGTGCATAACATGGTAGCAAATTATATTCCCATCCCTACCCAAAGGGAGAAACAGCGGCAGAAGTTCTCTCAGTGTTGTCTGATGCTGCACATCCTTGCCAAGTGAGTACACCTTCCATTCAGATCATAGAATCATAGAATGGCTTGGGTTGCAAGTGACCATAAAGCTCACCCAGCGGCCCACCTAGCTCAGGCTGCCCAGAGCCCATTCAACCTGGCCTTGAATACTTCCAGGGATGGGGCATCCACAGCTTCTCTTAGCAGCCTGTGTCAGTGTCTCATCACCTTCTGAGTAGATAACTTCTTCCTAACATCTAACCTATATTTCCCCTTTTAGAGGGGAAATGTGCAGATGAGTAGAGAGGGGCCAAACTGCTTCTGGCAAGGGACTCTTGTGTAGCCCCTTCATCACAGAAATGAAAGCTTGAGGAGCCAGCACAGGTAGCAAAGAGTCCAAGCTGATGTGAAGAGAAGCGTAAAGCTGATACCTTTCAGCCCAAACTGATTTTCAGACACTGCAACAGTTCCCAAGTACCCACCAGGTTACTGCAAGCCAGAGAAGCTCAACACCTTGCAGTTCTGGCATCCTCTATTTATATTCCTAAGCAGGGATTTGGAAGCTGAACTTTAGGCAACGGAGTTTGAAAATGTCTCTCATACATTTTTTAATACTGTACACAGTATAATGTAGAGGCTTGAAATGTTATTAACTTTGAGAAATGTTCTTGTTTAAGTAAATAACCATTTTATTATTGTGGTGAGTCACTTCAGACCTGTGTTGGTGCTGATTAATGCACTTCTTAGATAGGTGGCAGGCACCAGAGATGTCCATTAATTAGGGCTGCTGCACAGTCTGTCATGTCTTATTGCTTAATTAATAAACATTAGCTAAGATATTGAACTTTCCAAGGAAACTAGTGTACTGATGAACAGATTGTGCTGAGAGCCTGCCTTGCTAATGCTCGTGTCAGGAATGGAAGATTTATATTCCATGCACTTGGTTTGTAGAACAGCTGTGAGTAAAGTCTACTGGGACACCTGTTAGAGGCCATTGTATAAATTATTGCATGTTGCAGAACTATGGCATTCAAAAAAAGAAAAAATAAATAAAAAAATAAGAATATTTAATGGATTGTAATCAATAGGCAAGAAAACTATTGTCGCAGAGTAAAAGTCCTTACAATTGTGGCAGTTTCTTGTAATAGTAATAGTAAGTTACCCTAAAATATTTCTCTGAATCCACAGATTTCAAAACACTTGGCAGCACCTGGGATTGGCTCAGTACCATGAGGCACAAGCAGCTGCCTCGCTCTCCTGGCAGATTTTTCAGATGTCAGCAGGACAGAGGGACAGTGTCCCCCTGGGGCCTTCTTCTGCCTCTGTGCCTTTAGAAAACCTGGCAGTTGAATGTCAAAAGCAAAGTCTTTATTATTGATAATAATGAAACTATCAGAAAGATTATGGCTTTTTTAGCTTTATTTTCAAATGCCATTTTTTTCCAAATGGAAATTAGTTTAAAGCTAAAGAATACAATTTTGCATAGGAGTCCATACACATTTTTTAGACCACTTTTGTATTATAATTGTGTTCAACCTTCACAGCTGATTCCAACATCAAACAAAAAAATAATAAAACGTGTTTAACAAACTCTGATCATTAATGTCATTGGTGTATATAAAAAGACTGTTCCCCTTTATAAACCTAAAAGCCTAAGCATTAAAAAACAAATAAATAATAAGTTATGTTAATTTTTAAAAGTCCCCTTTCCCTTACAGTTTATATTCTCACCTAACAAAAATGTATACATGTATACATGTATATACATGTATAAACACACCCTGCCTGTTTTTCTCACCTCATTGTTGACCCACCAGATCTTCTCACGAATTTTAAACATCCTCATCACTGAAAAGAAACCAATTGCAGTGTGGAATATTGTAATATTTTACTCCTTTTCATTCCCATCACACATTCATCACAAAGCCTTTTTGTTAGCAGTCTCAGGGCTTGGTATGTACAGAAATGAAGCTCATGTTCTTCTACTTTCAGGCTGAAATTGATGGGACTTCACTGAGAGGCTTAATGTTGATTGCTAGAGCTTTCACTGTATCTTTCTTGTAGGTACTGACATTGAGCCCCTTTCATGATTCATGTGGGGCTTCTTCAGCCTTCAAGCTGACAAGGAAAAATACCTTTAAAAGATATTAAAATATATAATGTTGATAGATTACATAATATATAATCATATGTTACACAGCAAAATGTCATACTTCTCCTCCTCTCGTGTGTTTGGATATCTAATTTCTCTGTTCAGAAATAGGAGCTGTGCAAGTAGCAGAGTAGAGAGTACTGAGTTAAACAGTTCTTCCTCTGACACCTGTCTCCCACTGCAGTGTTCAACACCTCTCGTCACATCCATTCTACTTCCTTGACTCTAAAAATAATGCTTGCCTCAAAGGGATACTAATGAGGCAATATTTGCAGATTATTTTTAAAATATTCTTGTATTAATGAGAAATTATAATTATTCCAGTAACAGCTGGCATTTCCCTTTATACTGAAATGTTCCTTTCGAACAGGAGAGGAAACAAAATGGGCTGTAACTGCTTTTTTCAAAGATATCATGAAATAGAGTGTGTCAGAGAAAATATCACGTCTGCAAAATTGTGGTTGCATTTGCTTTCCTCATGAATAATTTATCTCAGGAAAAAATCCTCTTCCATTCTCCACAGTTGTGTCAAGCAAATGCCGTCTGTCCAGTAGAAGCAGAGAGGCTATTCTTCTTCCTTAAAAACAGAAAACATTTCAGAAATGCATCTGTTGCAATGGGTAGAGTTAAATGCAAAGACTGTGATATCTGCATTTCCTGCAGAGGCAATGACAAGTATCACCTAAGCCATACCCCATAGTGTAATAAGCACCTGGGTTTTATGAAGCCACTTCTGGCAGTCTGCCTGAGAGACTGCATTTTTGACAGCTTTGCGAATAACGTTTCGTGCATGTGGGACTGAATTTCACCCATCCTGAGTCTGTTACAGGAGCAATGTGGGAGCACATCCAGTGGTAGGAGGGCCTTGAGGAAACATTTTTCTGGCAGCCTGGTGGGATTTTTTCCAAGAGCAGCCATTTTGGGAGTCCAAATTTTGGAGTGTTGAAGCAAATCCTGGGGAAATAAAGAAGTAGCCAGGAAGGCAGGTGGAAGCATCACCATACAGCCCTATAATTTACTGCTAGATATCATCACTGTGTGTACATGGCAAGTCCCATCTGTGTGCACGCAATCTGTCAGTACTTGCAGGTGCACAGAATGCAGAGATCTCTGGGGCAAATTCCACTTCTAGTGCTGCCACTGATGGCTTTGAAACTTACCCTGTAGAAACTCAATTTCCTGTGGTGTTGAAACACATTTATCATGCGTACAAGTTTCTGCCCTGTACACGGGGCTGTGTGTTGTAGGACCAAGTCACCTCATTTTGCAAAATGCAAGCACCCCACTGTGTACAGTTACAGGATTCGTGCTCCTTTCTCTGCCATACCGTAAAGGGGAGCTGAGTCCTAATGTGGCTTCATTACCGTTATTTATTTGCATAATGCTTTCAGCATAAGCACTAGGCATTGGTAAACAGAGCCAACAACATTAATTCAGAATTCAAAAAGAACAAGGATATATTCTGAGATAATGAGACTGAATATATTGAAGCTACAGCTAGTGCTATAAAACATTGATTTGCTGTAAATAGCTTAATGTACCCCCTTCCAGCTGCATTAATATGTCTGCAGCATGTACATACATCTGTGTGAAAGTGATAAATGCCTCCTTAAAGCAGAGGAGGTATAAATGCAGTAGATATGTTTCTCATAAGTGCACTGCATTATTATAAATATCGTGTTGAATCATTTATATTTTAGTGAATGTTTAGCATTAGTTGGATTTTTATATGGAAGGGTAACATGTGTGTGGTAGGGTTGCTTTTTTCTTCACTTTGTTTTTGATCAATGTATATAATCTTTCCATTCTTTTACATACAGGAAGGCAAGACTGTCATTTCTGTCAACATTTCCACTGCTGCCATCATTCATTTCAGAACCTAATAATGTTTCCTCTTGATTTCTAAAACTTACACAGAATTAAATCTTGCCAGGTTTTCATGGGCCTTACTTCGTTTTGCTGCTTGCTATTGTACTGCTACTGTCCTGCCAGACAATGTTATTTATTACTAACATTACTAAAAACAAGCCTCCAATCAAATGTAATTTTTCATGCATGGGCTTTATGTATGACATAAATCTGTTTCTTTCCTAATCCTGACCAAAGACATGTCCTTTCATATTTGCTGAATCTAACAGTTTTATTCACTTTGGGCAGTATATGGTAACTATATATATATTATCACTAGCAACTTCAATATTCAAGGGTTTGATTTAGTTTTGGGATTTTATTTAGTTTTTTGGTTGTTTGTTTGTTTTGAGAAAGACTGCACAAAATAAGTGTGCTTTGCTGTAATTCTGTGTGAGACATTGGTTGAATTAATTATACTCTGAAGATGAGAAGAATCTTATGATAAGCAAGTAGATTAGCCAGATGTTTCAATATACATTTTTAGTGCCTCATTGTATTGTGACACTGCCACAAGTGAACATGTTGTCAGGATACAAATACTGGAGTGCCCCACTATGCAGTGCAGATGCAAAGTTAGTTTGTGGCTCTATGACTGCATCCTCTGTAATATCAACCTGCAGATGGAAGAAAAGAATGGCACTTAATCTGTCCTCCTCTTTTCTTGGATGCTCAGAGAACCTGAAGAGCTGTTTCGTATGCCAACAAAATGCTTCACGTGCACCATACATCATAGGGTGTGCTTTTGTGGCTGATGCTCCCCTTGAGTTCATCTGTGGAGAACATCAGTTTCACTGAGTATCCTGTTTTTCTGAGTGAAGTTCCAGAAATGCATGAGTGAGGGTATCTGTATCACTGTTATCACTGGTTTCTAATTTTCACTTTTACACTGTCCTTTTAATATTTAATGCTCAGTAATCATATGTATTGCTTTAGGTTATACTGTCTATTGAAGAAGGTTACAGGCTACCAGCTCCCATGGGCTGTCCAGCTTCTCTTCACCAGCTCATGCTTCACTGCTGGCAAAAGGAGAGGAACCACCGTCCAAAATTTAGTGATATTGTCAGCTTCCTGGACAAACTGATCCGCAATCCAAGCACCCTTCATACCCTAGTGGAGGACGTACTTGTGTAAGACCCTTTTCAACAACCTCTTTTGCATATGCTGTAGTGGCTGTCATCAGGTGTTTTGGGGTAGGAGAGAGTGCCAAAGTGCTAAATACACAGTGATATGGGGGTAGTTTTGACCTCCGTTGGAGGTTTGTTTTACTTGTAATACACTGTTGCAAAAGGTTTTTGTGGTTCTTTTTCTCAAGCTCTGTGGATTATATTGAGCATTTTTATTTTTTTTCTTTTCTCTTTTCATGAGCTCTGTTTGTTCACTGTCTATCTTTAATCTTTGAGAATCTCTTTGTGGAGTTTCTTGGTGCTTCTCCGATGTTTGTTTTTCTTTGTAATTTTTTCTCCATTTAGCACCTTCTGTCCATCAGACTGTGTACTATCAATTTCTGAACTGCCTTGGAGTAAACTCCAGCAGAAAACAGCAGTAGCTTGCCAAAATCTATATTTATCTGCAGAAGAATAGCATTGGTGCCCAAATAATGTATTGCACTATTACCTTTCCACAGCAAATTCTTGATAGTATTGTCCAAAGTTTTATCAGTTAATGATATTACAGAAACATATGCAGCCACAGGAGACGTGAAACTGTAGTCAAACACATTGTTAGTTTCCATGTGCTGAATGATCTAAGCTGTGTATGTGTAGCAGCTGAAATCAGTGAAGTCACAGCTGTCCTCACTGTCTTCATTAGCTGAAATTCACCTTCATATGAAGACACTTCCGTAGAGATCTCTTGGCTTGTAAAGGATTCTCTTTGCCCAGCTGGGTCTTGCTAAGAACCTCAAGAGGAGGTTGTTATAGAAAGCTATTGATACACCTTGGAAAAGGGATAAACAACAGGGAAAAGATTCAGGCTGGTATTTTGCTGTAGGAAAGGTTGAAGGGTGTGTTTATGAGAAAAGCCTAAAGTAGGCTACATCTGTTTTATCTACAACAAACTGCTGTGCATTGTTGGGCTTAATGTCCACAGGCTAGATTTAGTAGCATCTTGTTTTATTTATATCTTTGTATGCATGTAAGTATACACACAGGCTCAAGTACCACTGTATTTATTTAGCATCAGCATGATGCATTTTTCATTAATTTTTATTTTATAATATTATTTAAGATTCCAGGATTCAGAGACTCTTCCATGTTCTCCTGCAGATCAGCTCTTCTTGTACTCACCTTGGGAAAAATTTTGCATTCATTTAGAAGTGCTTGATGCAGTTAATCTGAATTGCATTACTTTAACTTATGAGTTCAGTAGGTATTCTATAGGAATAGAGTAATTCAAATTGGAAGAAATCACCATAAGTGTGTGAACTAGCTTTGTACCTAACAGAGTTCTCCTGTCTCTCTATAATTCTGACTATATAAATGAAAACCCGTGTGTTTAATGTATCCAGATACGTATGTTTGAAACTCAGCGTGTTAATGTACCAAGGTGTGTTATAAGCAAGCTGTATTCCATCTGACAGTGTTAGCTGGCTTTTGCTGAAAAAGAAATCATTTCAAATAATTTCTATCTTCTTTCTAAAGGCTTTATACACAGCTTTTATACACAGCTGTGTGTTGTTTCAGCATTCTATTCCTTACAGTTTCTCTACACAAAATATAGTCTGTGCAAGCTGTGAGACCTCATCAGCATGGTAGACAAAGGAACACTGGAAAAATATGTCCCATGGTTGTTTTTTTTTGTGTGTGTGTGTGCGTGTGTGTGTGTTTCCATTTCAGTTGTACAATATCAGGGAAAAGAAATGAAATAGAACTGAAACTATACTAGCTTCCTCAGTTTATTTGCTATTCTATATAATTTTGTGTAAAAAGAAAAGATACAAAATGTTTTTGCTTTTTTTTTTAGTAGCTAGAAATCTAAACCTATAATCAGTGTTCCCATTGCATAATGGCATAGCAAAAAGGAGCTATTGATTATTACTTCACAGAAAAATTATCTTGCAGTATGTTATTATTTTTAAATGGTATCTCAGGTTAATTTTTTTTGCTTTCTAATTTGACTGCTGGATTTACAAACAATTACCACCCTGAAACATGTAAGATCTTCAAATGAACTCCGTGTGATCAAAGTAGGAACACTGGAAGTGGTCTGTTCCTGTTTGTTTTTGAATTGCAGTGCTTTTGAAAAGTGTATTGTTTAAGAAGAGCAAATTTGTAGATTAATATCATTTATAAGCTTTAGACAATGGGTTAAAGAGAACCTCAGTTAAGACCTGACCTTTACATCTCAGGGTCCCCGTTCGTTCCTTCTGCCTTTTATTAAAAATAATGTCTCCCAAAATAAATCAAGCACCATTTTATACTGCGCAGGTGACCTTTGCTTTTTATTTTTTCAGAATGCCAGATTCACCTGGTGAAGTTCCAGAATTTCCTTTGTTTGTTTCAGTTAGTGACTGGCTGGACTCCATAAAAATGGGTCAATATAAAAGCAACTTCATGGCAGCAGGTTTCACAACTTTGGATATGGTTTCAAGAATGAGTATTGAGTAAGTATGCAATCTGTTATTTCTGTAGTGACTAATCTGAATTTGTTTGTATACTGCAGTGACTTACTGTGAGGTGTTCTTTTTCTATCTAATAGAAGATAAATACAGTTTTTACCAAAACAATGCAGTAGAAAGTAGTGATTAAGAAACCCAGAAGTAATAGTTTCATCTGTAACCAAACCACACACTAATAAAGCTCAGGCAGTGAGCATCCTTAAATGTTGGAAAATTGGTTTTTGTTTAGACCACTGAAATCAGCAGCAGAATCTTTCTTATTTTGCCATGAATATCGTCAAGCCTAAGTGATTCTTCATGTGGAAGTAGTTCCGTACCTTGCTGCCTTTCTTCAGCCATCCTCAGTTGCACTCAATTTTTGCAGTGAAAACACTGTAGAACATAGGGGTTTGGAGAAAATATGGATTAGCATGGTAGCATAATGATACTACCTATTTTGCTCATGATTCCCTTCCCATTCATTCCTAATCATCTAGTTGATCCCAGAATCACAGAACATCATGAATTGGAGAAGGCCACAAGGACCACTGAGTCCAATTCCTGGCCCCACACAGCACCACCCAAAATCCAAACTTTATGTCTGAAAGTGTTATCCAAATGCTCCTTGAACTCCAGTAGTTCAGAGCCATTCCTGCTGCTGTGGACAGCCTGTTCCAGGGCCCAACTACTCTCTGGGGAAGAACTTTTTCCTAATCCTCACCCAACAATTTCCTGATACAGCTCTATGCTGTTCTCTAGAACGCTGTTGCTGTCACAGAGAGCAGAGCTCAGTGCTGCCCCTCTGCTCCCCTCGTGGGGGGCTGCAGGCTACCATGAGGCCTTTCCTCAGCTCCTCTGTTCTGTGCTGGACCAACCAGGGGACGTTAGCTGCTCCTCATATGCCTTGCCCTCCAGACCATGCCTCATCTTTGCAGCCCTCCTTTTGTCAAGCTGTATGCTGCCCATGTGGTCCGAAAGGATAAAACACAGCATTGAAAGGTTTGTTGAAATATAAAAGATTACATCTACTGCCTTGTTTCCTATCTGGATGGGGAATCTTGTTGTAAAAGGAAATTGAATTTGCTAAACGGAACTTTTCCCTCATGCACCTGTGTTGGCTGTGACTGATTGAACTCCTAACTTCAGCTGGTGCTGTTATGTACTGTAAAACTGAGATTAACGTGAGTTGAGTTCTCCCTGCTATTGTTTGGGGACCTGCAGACGTCCCTTCCAACTTCAGTCTGTAGTTCTGTCTCTGCAGTTGTGCAGCAGCGTTGCGCTCAGCACTCTATGCCCATGTTCTCCTGCTCTATGTGTTACATGTCTGTCTTGTGCTGGGGGCCCCAGGCCTGGATGCAGCCATGGATCATGGGATTCTTTGGGATGCATCAGCTATAAATATCAAAGTAATATTGTGAGAGCAGAACTGTAAATGGCTGCAGTCACTGACAAGAACATTGAGGTTGCTGAATAATGAGAAGAAACTGATACACCTTCAAAATACTTAAAATGAGACTCAGAAGTCACATACAAGATCTAAGATTTCCTAAGGCACTCCTCTGGATGATAGCCCTAATGCTGGTGAATGTGTAAATGCTGGCTTTTACTGATGTCAACTCAGTCTCATTTCTGATGCTAAAGCTATCTATATTATCAGTAGTAATGGTCAATTTATATTCAGGAATTTTACACATGAAGCTAGAACTGGTTTTCTCCCATACGTATCACTTTACATTCACCTACGCTTAATTTCACCTACTTTTTTATGGCATAGTCTTATAAGATCCTTATAGAACTCTTTACCTTTCCCTTGATACCCTGAATAATTCAGTCTCACTATCTGACACTTTCACCTCTTTGCTCATGTGTTTTTCCAGGCCATTTACTGACTTGTTGAACAGTAATGTTCATCATTATCCTAGCATTGGTCCCTGCAGATTCCGTTGATGACTCCATTGTAAAATTTGACAACCTACTCCTAACCTCCTGTCTTCTACCTGGTTATTTATTCATGGAAAGTGCTTCTTATGACCCAGCTCATTTTCTTTATATACCTTTGATGAGAAACCTTCTCTAAAGCCTTTTGGAAATCCAAGTACAGTTAATCAAATGGGTCATCTCATCCATGCGCATGGTGACTTCACCATGTGCATGGTGATTCCTCCATAGGAAACAACTTTATAAAACAAGATTTCTCTCTGCAAAAGCCATAGTGCCATTTCCAAAGTAGATTATTTATCCAGGTATTCAATAATTCTATTCTTTATTGTATTTTCTACTATGCCTTGTAATGTTTTTAGACCCACAGGTCTGCATTTCTCAGACCTCTTCTGGAAACTCTGCTTTGTCTCCATAATTTTTGCACCACTCTCCACATCTCAGGCACCAAGAAAATTTTATGTTTAACAGAGCTGATAATCCCTTTCTCACATTGCTGTCACTATTTCATCTTTGATCTCTCTTAAAAGCCTTGACTAAAGACTTTCTTGTTCTGGATTACTTGCTGATTGTTTTTTTTTTCAGTTTCTCCTGCAACTTCTCCTGCAGTCACTTCAACTTCAGATGGCTCCTCTGACAATTCCCCATAACAGTTCTGTTTTGTGAGTCACTCAGTATCATCTGCAGCGGATGTCAACTCAGATAATTGGTTTTGCATTCCTGCAGCGGTCAGTCTCTCGATGCTCTTTTATACAGCATTCAAAATTAGACTCTACAGACACACTGGCTGACTTCTTGTATCCTGTGAACTTACAAAAAAAAAAAAAAAAAAAAAAAAAAGGTTTATTACAAGCTCTATTATTAAGGGATTTTGGCTGATTGTTCCTCAAGCAGGTTTGTCTGCCTTACAGCAGTCTTACAGACAATCTGCCTAAGGTTATCATCCTTTCTACTTTCCTTTTTTTTTTTTTTTTTTTTTCAAAAAGCTGAAGTTATCTGAAAAAAGATTCTTTTTTCTTCACGTAACCTTTCTGACTCTTGGGCTCTTGGCTTCTTTCTGAGTTGTATCAGTCTGTACTTGATAAGCACTATGCATTGTTCCTGCATTTCTATCACTCTCCCACCTGTAAAAGTTTATTCTCCTAGCTGCTTCTTTTTAGTTTCTAAGATGTTCACTGTTTTTTACATAGTCCCTGCTGATCTTAAGTGTTGTGTATTATTCCCCATTATTATGAGAATGTTAAGTCTAAATATATAGCAGTTGCTGCTATCTAGTGGTTCTTCATCTGCTGGATATGGAGTCTTAACCTGCAAATTTGAAGCTCAGAAGGGTCATACCTCCAACTATGGGCTCCTTTATCACCTATATCATAAAACAATATTTAAGGCTATCTAAATGTGCAATGTCAATGCCATGTCCCATTGTGTGTTCCATGGCCTGGAAATTGACAGGATAATATTGAAGCTTCCTGCCCTTGCTAGCTCTGTGATCTTTCTCAGTGTATTGCAGTTAGTGATGTTTAGAGAACTGCCAAACACCAGATCATCAGAAGCATAGCTTCATTTCCTTCAACCTCAGGACTGTAAGAGTGAGTATACCAGCCTTGGTCCTGTGCAAGTATGAGTGGGAACATTTGCTGCTAATGTATTACTAAAAAAAGGCTATTAGAGCATAGTTTTAAGGTGCTTCCTCAAGATCTAAAAATTATTAGACTGTTTTAGATTGTTGCTTTCAGAACAAATGACAGTACTCTAACTGCATGATATTTTCTTCTCGAATGGCACTTCTTATTCAAAAACTGGAATTGACAGATGCAGAAAACTCAAATGCCTGCAGCACTCACACATGTTCCACTTGTGAAAGTAAACTGTCCTTAAGCAGAGCAATTCATCATATATTTGTATGCTTTCGTGTGCTAGAGTTCTTACTATACTTGTATCCATGATGAAACTTTTTATCTTGCAGTGACATTAGAAGAATTGGAGTTGTACTCATTGGACACCAGAGACGAATAGTCAGCAGTTTACAGACTTTGCGGTTACACATGATGCACATACAGGAGAAAGGATTTCATGTATGAAAGTACTAGAACCAACTGTGTTTTGTGCCTCAGCGTTTCTAAAATGGAAAATATTCTCATTCTTCCCTTCTGCTTTTCTCAACTTCAAGAACTGCAGTCTCCTGGTTAGACTCCAAAAGTACTTCTACGTTAATGCTTCCAAACTGGAATTTTTAATCACACTGCATAGTTCCTCTGTCAGTTATCTGCCAATAAAATTCTGACCTACTGCAAGACTTGCTACACATTGATGAATAATAACTCAGCAACTCAGCATGGATGTGTAACTTTGTATAACAGTATTTGGGAAACTTTCACAAACTTACTGGAAAGTAGTAATCCATTTGGCCTGGTGTGGCTTCTTTATCGATGTATTTAGAGTTTGCTGGTAGATCAAAACGTATTTGACTTCTTTCATGTTCTGTGACCATGTAACTTCCAATACCAAATGTGCAATCAAGAAGTTTCACATAAATATTTATTTTATCTTCTAATTAAAACAAAATGTATGGGTCCTATGGTTATATTACTTTATAATAGTTTAAATGCTGGTAAGCCGGTGCCTCAAGATGTGAGCATTGTTTGCAAAAATGACTGATGATTTTACGTAGTGAGTTTTCATTGTGTTGTAATTGGGAGGATAGTGAGAGAAATCTGGCTGAAATCTTCAGGTTCTTGATTCTGAATTATGTTAGCACTCGACACTTTTTATGCTTTAAATTTCAGATAAGGTCAAAATATTTATTCAGCCCTAGATTTTTTATTTTATTTTTAATAGTCAGCATTTGCCTCTATTCCATGGTAAAATGTCACTGGAAGACTGGATGTAATGTTTCCATAACTACATGTAAAACATGGTTGTCTGCTATACTGTGGTCACATAGACTTCAGAAAGTTTCCTGTTCCAAAAATGTAGGCCTCCACAACTTGAACTGTCATTTCCACCAGTGGTAGTAGACTTAGGGGGTCAACCATCAGTGGACTGTTGGAGCAGATCGCCGTAGCATCATCCAATTGAAGATAGTGGTACAGTCACAAACTAATGCTGGAAGTTATGCTCTGTGGAGTTCAGTTTTATTATACATAGGCAGAAAAGGAGACATAGGACAGCAGTGTAATAATATGTTGCCTTGAGTCTACTTCTAACTGCTTTTAGAAGTGAAAAGCAGACTCTGCTGAAATGGAGTTCTGGTTTCTGTGGGGGCCAGATCTTCATTTAGTACAAATTCCAACAATATCAAAGATAATTACTTTTAGAACTCTTCAATAGCCATATTTACATGCAAGAAAAATGGCTGCAAAGGCCTAACATAATATTTGTACCTCTGTAAGATTTACAGCTTTCATTTTTTTATTCAGACAACTTATACAGATGTGCTGGGCTACATTTTGAAACTTTTGCATGAGATATGCGCTGCTAGGAACTGGGACATGAGCGCGTGTCTGCGAGCTGGAGAAGTCACACGCAGATCTACATGCATGTCACATGTAAGCTGGGTTTTTGTTAATTTATATGTACTTTGGAGGACATTCTTAAGTTACACGGCATTTCAATATACTTAAAGATTACAAATCTTCAGTTAAATCGTGCATTTGGGTAATTACTATAATATATATGTATATCAAAATGAATTAACTACGTTATGTAATCATAATGATATTTAGTGCTTAATTTACAGCTTGTAAATCAAATTGTATTTCCTGACTCTCAAAAAGGCTACCGTTGTATACTGGTGGCAAAGAGGGAAAAGCAGAAAGCAACTCAGAAAAGATTAGGCTGCCAGCTGGTTCACAGAGTTAAGACATGCTAGCCCTGATTCACTGTTGTTACCTTGTGTTAGCCTAACTTCATTAATTTAAATGGAATACAAGTAGTGAACTGCAGAAATTTTTCTTTCTTCTGTTAAAAAAAAAAAAAAAAAAAAAAAACAACAACAAAACAACAGATTTAACTGAAGAAAAAGTTTTCTAAAGATAAGGATTCACCAGTGTTCTATGATGTCAAGTTCATAAATATGTTTAAAGAAGGGCAGTGCTAGTCTTATTTTAGCTACAAAATTTATCAGCGTGGGTAGTCCCACTGACCTCAGATTGATAAATTTTCCCTCAATTCCAAATCTGAGTTTTCAGGGCTTGGTTTTTTTTTTTGGTTTTGGTTTTGGTTTTGGTTTTTTTTTGGAAGGGTGCCCTAAGAGAAATAAAATCATACCTACCTGAAACCTTTTAAAAAAAACAACATCACAGAGTAATTTAAGACTTGATTTTCCTTTATTGTTTCATTTCCTCGTATGCCAGTCATTGCTTTTATAGCCATCAACGTGACATCTGTGAAAGGAGGCTCTCGCATTTAAATTTATTACTGAGGAGATATGAGTCTGTTATTTGTTAAGGGAGTTTCAAAATTGTTCATAACTAGACCAGACCATAAGTGTGCACTTTTAAATTCTCCTTTGCACATTTATTCATTCTTGGTAGTGCGTACACAAAGCTGTATGTTACATGCACACAACCTGGATATATTTCATGGAAATTATTTTCCAAATTTATCACACTACTGAAAATATATTTTCAAATAATATATAATAACAATATAAAAACATTTATTAATCAGATCTATTTTTTATATGAATAAGAATTTGGGTAACCAGAAAGAAAAGAAGAAAGGATTTCAGTGAGACTGTTTATTAAAAACATTGTAAATCCAGGATTTTGGGGGGGTTTATATGGTTTGCGTTTTTTGTTTTGATGGCGCAGTATGACACTTCTATAATAGTTGTTCTGATCAGATTTACATTTAGTCCATTTTGGAAACATTTGATTTGCTCTTGTTATATTTCTAACCCTACTCTTCCATTTTATTCAGCACAAAGGAAAGTGCTACTATTATGGCTGCTTATCTTTTAGTTCATCTAAAAACAAGAACAAACAAACATGATGTTTTTCACATGTGAGCTCAATTCTGTGCAAGCCACAAGTATAAATGTGAAATTCAAGTAACTTACTTTATTGCAGGGAATACTTTCTTCGGGTGAAAATTACTTCATTTAGTTAACCTGTATATAGCAGTTACTGATTAAATTTAATAAATTCAAGTAAAGCTAGAAAGCTGTTTTTGAAAATCTGGCCAACACTGCACGGTGTTTCATGACAAAAAGTACTCACTGAAAGTTCATTAAATAAAGACTGCATGAAATACAAGCCCCCTAAAAACAGATTAAAATGTGGACATAAGGAAATAGTTCCAAGCTTGTTATTTACAAGTGATATCCACGTGCAGGCTTTTCTAACAGACCTGGTAGTCATACATCTAGAACAAATCCATCTGTACTGTTACCACTACCTGGGTACAAGTTAAGTCTTCAGAAGATAGCTTTAATGAGGGCCTTTGTCTGCTGGGCAGACAACACATAGTGATAAATGTCATCTGACAGAGTTAGCATCTCTTGGTCACTAAGTGCACTACCCTGTTTTCCATCGTGTGCCAACCACAGTGCTTCCCAAGTTGACTGACAAGAAGCTTAGATATTCATGCAGCCAAGTGGGTCAGTCATCAGTCTAACATGGAAACTCAAGCCATCTCCACCTGATGGAAACTCAGAACCCTGAAACCTACTAGGGGGAAATTTTTCTCACCTAACTTTGGAGGTGTGCATTTGAGCTAGTCTGAGGTTCCATTTTAATCAGTGAGGAGAACAGGGCCCTTGTAGTATTCACATAGTGATAAATGTCATCTGACAGATGTAATCATTAACTTTTGGGTGAGAGGAAATGTGTCAAACCAGCACTTGAGACAAAATTACTAACTCAGATTATAGAAGCATAGAAGCATAGGAGCATAGAATGGCTTGGGTTAGAAGGGACCTTAAGGTTCATAAAGCTCTAACCCACCTGCAGCAGTGGCTGCCAACCTCCATATCTAATACTAGATCCAGGCATCTGTTCTTAGTCTTGTGCACTGATTGTATCTACTCATTGTGCTGAATCTCTGAAAAAGAGAGGACCCCATGTGTAATGCTGATGTTGACACTGAGTAACAGCATAATGTCTGTCCAATAAAAGCTTAGGTGCGTGCTATGCTTTAATACATCAGCATCAGACTATCTTACAATTGGAAATAGAACACTCAGCAAGTAATTCAAGTAATTTAATTGCTCTGGACAAAGCATTCTGTGTCAGAAGATGGTTTATTCTGACACAGGATTCAAACTGTACCACTTGATTTTTTGTAATTTAAGACTTGCTATTCATTTTCCATTTTTATAGATACATTGAGCCTAATGCTGAGCTCCATGAAGTTTTTTTTTTCAATGCAGATTCATCTTTTATAGTAACAAAAGAGTATTAATGAAAAGAGTTTGGTCTATTGCATCTTCTAAGAAAAGTATTAAAAATTGAAATACTTATTTTATCATGGCATTTGTGCATGGCTGAAGAGTACTGTATTCTATTAAACAGGTTTCTTTCAGAATGCCCTTGCTCCCTAACTGTAATTGAGTTTTCCTGAGCAAATTGCAAAAAAAATTTTTTTTCTTTATTAATAGTACTATTTTTTTAAAAGAGTAAGGGAGAGGTCTGTTAGGTTGGGCTAACACCAAGTACTGCAGTGATCTTGAAATCTCTCAGAGAGACAAATGAATCAGTACTGAAAGGGGAAAAAAATCTAAGAAGATTAGAATAAGATGAAAGAAGAAAACTTTCCATATCGTGCCAAAGAGTTCTAACAAAAAGAAAAGAAATGGCACAAAAACAGTTACATGTATTTAGAGTCCACAGATATCTTCTTCCATCATATACTGTGCATTGCTCATTTGTGAATGCTATGGTTGTATATAGATCCTCAGATTATGGACTAGGACATACTGAGAACATAATGGATATAAAAAATATGTGGATGTGCATATAAAGAATTGTAAATATAATGTATATCATAATGCCTGAGATTTTTCAAGCGTACATAAATTAATTACCTGGCTCTCAATAATGGTAATAGGGTTGATCTTCTCCTCTGGCACTTAAAATTGTAAACTTCCCAAACTTCCTTGGCTCGTTGTCTGGAAATGGATGATAGCCTCTCTCTTCCTCCCTTCACAAGCAGAACAAAAAGAAAAAAGCTTTTTTAGTTCAAGGTAGTCCATGCTTATAAAAAAGTTTGAGTACCTCTGCTGAAGTCACCAAAGATGAACAGTATATAAATGATTTTCTTTTAAATAGTCTTTTATAGACTCTTTTGAGGTTAAAATGGGGGAAAAATTCAAAGGAATGTGAATAATGATTTGCCAGTATATACTATAAAAAGATTTGTTGAATTTTAGAAAGGAAAAACAAAAAAAAAGATGAATGTAAGAACAGAAGGCTAAAAATGAGTAGGTTAAAATAAATTTCCATATTTTATATGTGAAATAACACCAGTTCACATCATGAAATCTATTTGTGTGCATGTTTCTTTGAATATTCTACATCAGTATTTCCTACTTTCACACAGGAGATTTCACAAGTAAATCTCTCTTCCACAAGGGGTTAACATATTATCTGTTTTTTCATACCTGTCTAATTAAACTGAAATTAATAAGGTTAAGTCATGGCACTGAAGATGTGGAAAAGTATATTAATAAGATCAATCTCAAAAGCATTTCAAGTTTTCACCTGTTCTACTTTGTTCATGTACCAGAATTTCAACTATGTCCAAGTACTTGACTAGTTGGTAACTATACATGTGTCCCAGAAATAACGTATGTACTGTACCATGTTCAGAAACACCTGAATATGTAGAATGCAGTGCTTGTGTGGCTTAATTCAGATAAAGAGGCTGACTAGAAATTGAACTATTTACATGAGTAGAGTTAGGCACAAAATGCTTGCAAGTCCAAGCTCTTATAATATATTTGTAAAGCAGAATGAAATAACATAATTTTGTCCTTTTTAAATTCAGTTCTATATATGGTTCTCTTGAGAGTCCACCATATTCATTGTTATTATGAGAAAACCTCCTGTTTCATACAAGTTTTGGGGAATATTCATCTCTAACATGCAAGCTGATTGCAACTTCATAAATACTAATACTTCTCATTGACAACTCGGTGAAGAACTGCTAAGCAGCACATAGATAAGGCAAAACCCTGGGAATGATAACTCAAAATATCAAAGGAATCTACCTGTCTGTATTGTGAACATTGTGATGGCTGGAGCCTCGTTTGGAGAGTAACTTTACCGCTAGAATCTGGAAAATCAAATTCGGGGATCATCTGCATTAGAATCTGATTATTTATTTCTGATTGTGAAAAATTGCCCATTGAATCAATAAAGGGAATATTTTCATAGTATCAGCTCAGCATGACGCTCTCAGTGTCCTCTAAAGCAGTGACAAAAAAAAAAAAAAAATCTATTTGCTGGTTTTCCAGGGTCCAGCCTATGAGAAAGAAAAAAGGTGCAGTTGTCATAATTCAGATTAGAACTTCCAGTAGACACAGTTTTATTTTCTAAACATATAACTGAAGGATTAACTTCTCTTCTTGTTGCATATTGGCTTTTTTAAGAAGAACCTAAAAAAACAGTAAAAAGGAGAGTTGTCTAGTTAAGTGTGGCTTATCCATCAAATTTCCAATTTCTTCCAGACCAACTTCCACGTGACAATGAGAAGCAAAAAAAGAAAAAGCAAAGCAAGAATATCTTTTATCAGGCTGAATTCTTTGATTCATACAACTTACATCACCATCTCATTAAGCACTATATAAGATTAGATGAAAAAGACAAAAATTACAGCCAATGTTTCAAGTCTATAGATTCTTCTAGTTACTAAATACCAACTTCACAATTACATTTTTGCCTTGGGAAGGTTCTACTCTAAATTACCTACTATTTTCACATTCTGATGAAGGATTTTAATAATTTTTTTTTTAATTAATTCCAGAGACAATTAGGTAATTGTGTAAGGAATTAGTTTCATTGTCAGTAGGCACTGTGCTGTTGTGACTTAGGAGTTTGATACTGACTTCAGTGTCAGTAAGATGAGGCCCTATCTTATAGAGACTGTTATTGGATTCGACGTTCCTAATAAATTCTTCCTTTCTGCATTTTACTACTATCACAGTTGATTTGCTGTTGGAAAACCAACATTTATCAGTATGCATGGTGTCTTGTCATTCAAATGTATTACTAAAATATTATGCAAGTTTTAATTTCTTTCTTCAGAGTTCCAGGTTGAGATCAGCTTGATCATTTGAGGCATGATCCAAAATCACTTAAATCCATAAGTAGCTCTCAATGGACTGTAGTAAGGTTTTGGACCAAGGGTTTCCGAAGATTTGCATGGAATGGATGGCCTGCTTTAATAAGAGGAAAGAGTGCACTGATCTTAAAAGACAATGCTGCTACCTCAGGAATGTGTTAAAAAAGATTATGGTTACCTTCAGTGTGGTACAAACAAGGTACAAAACACACTTGCTGCACTGCTGTTTTATCTGGAACGAGTTACCATCACTGAGTTTGGAGTAAGTAAAACAAACCTACTAATCCAACAGAATTTCCACAGTATGTAATACAAATTTTTTTCTTTCTTAGATATTTTCCCAAAGTCCTGGATTTAAGTCCAGGATAAAACCACCTTTCCCATCAACAAAGAATACAACTTCTATCTGTAGGATTTGTCTCTCTTTTCTTCTTTAACACGCAGCATTATACAGTATGATCTTCCCCTCATGATAGCAGTTCTATTTTCCACTTTGAACAAACTTTATTTCACAGTCCTAGTGCAATGCAGTGTAAGGTCTGAGATTTGCCCCTTAATTAATGGCACAGCAGCACATAAAATAAATAATGCCCTCCTAGTCATACTATTTACTGGACTCTTTCATTAATTCCACATTTCAAGAAAACCATGCTACTCTAAAATACCCAATACATAAACACAAACATTTTAAAACTTACGGCCATGATTCTGTAGCAGCCTCACCCCAATAAATAGTTAGGTTTGAATTGGTCGTATATATTTTTAATGTCATTTCTTCTGCAGCAATTTCTTCTTCTGACTTTTCTCCATGAGGAAGAAAGCTATTTCAGATAGGAGTGGGAAAAGTTGCTTCTTGGTTAACTGGTGAAGGAATTGGACTCAATCAGTATTTCAGTATATGTTATTCTTACCTAGAGCCATGGTTCCAATGTCAAAATTCCCTTATGGTATCAGTTATATCATACATGGTGCTGCCGCGATTGAAAACCCAAAGACTAACAAAAGAGGCTTGCTCTTGTTTGGTGCAGTACAACTCCTATAGACTTCAGTAACAGCAGCAGATACTCTGCGCTCCTCAGGATTGCTTATGCAATTTAACAAGGAAAAAAAAAGGCTTAAAAAAGATCACATGAAACCATATTTACTGAAAGGCAATTGCTTATTTTCTAGCAAATCAAACTTCATTGATCAAGTTGGTGTCAACTGTCAACTGTTTTCACTTTCTCATCTTTTCTCTCTCTTTTTTTTTTAATTTCATTTGCTCAAAAAAAAAAAAAAAAAAAAAAAAAAAAGCCATGAGAAAAAATATTTGTTTACCTTCCAAAAATTAGCTTTCATTTTCTCTTGGGACACAACGTGGTCAGTGTGTTTCCTCAGGATAGCTTCTATTTCTCTGTGTTGGTTTTAAACGTATATCAATTAAAGGAGTTTTGATCCCTTCCGTGAAATTACATTGTACAGAACTGAATATGACTGCTCTTCATAGTCTGCTGTTCTAGCATAGCCATAAAATGTATCAATGTATGTGTATATATGAATAACTATTCGATGACGGACACATTATATATTTAAGCAGCCATGTCAAAACTTTAAAGGTGGATGGCTTCCAAACAAACAGTATAATCATACTTGCAAACCATTTTACAGACAAACCATGGCCTCAGCTCAGATCTCATATCCTTATCAGTATCCTCCAGAAACCACTCTTTCTTTAAAGACCCCAGATCACAGTTGTTTTTCAGCTGCTTTTTTTCTTCTCTCGAAGATATATTTGAATAATGATGATGACTACCTGTAAGTGAATCTTCACCATCCATCTCATAGAAAAGCAACCTTGGCACTGTGCCTCTGAGTTGTATCTTCATCAGTCTGAACCTGTGCCGCATTGCACACAGCAGGCAATGTCTACTAATTCTGAGAGACTGAACATTCCATAGCTGGTACTGTGACTGCCCCGCTGTTCAGAACAACTTTTTTTTTCATGCAGTTTATCTCCCACACATGCTCTGAGCACATTTTTTCTTTCTGTCTTTTTGCCGGTTTATAACAGTACTGCAGGAATAGCCATGAAATAAAAACCTTAATGTACTGATTTTGCAGACCCGAGGGGAATTTACATTAGAAGTGAAGTTATTATTTTCTGAAAAGTGGCGTTACCATTTTTTAATTCTATTCCTATGATAATACAATGTTCCATGTAAATTCTCATGTGCTGGCATGCCTACGAGTTAATAGTGTAATAGAATGCTCAGCTCTCAACATTAGAGTGTTTTTAAGGTGAATTGCATTACATATGCCATCTCTTTGCAGAAAGAATATGGGGTTTGGCAAAGCTACCTGCTGAGCAACATAATAAGATTTTTGTACAAAGTACAAGTTACTGATTATTATTGTATTTTATTTTTCTATGATTTCCTAAGAGGCATTATCAGGTCTTACGGATGGGGTAAGCCTGTTTATTAAGATATTTATTAGCAAATAAAAGTTACAGTACTGGTGGTTATTTTTGAGTTAATGGTGTTTGTTTTGCCTTAGGTTATTAATATAATGATACACAGTGAAGCCTGTCATACATGATCATGCAAAAGAAAAAAGAAAAAAAACAGCTGCTTAACACAGGGTGGTGTACTAATAAAGATGGACCAGCAATATGTTCTAACACTTGAGATGCTTCAGGGTGTTGTGTTTTTTTCTGTAGCATAAGAATGCTTAATTATAGTGGTCTCTCCTGTGCTTACCACTGAGCACTTACGCTCTCATGTACACTTTTTCAAAATGCATATACATATATACATGCATACATATGCATTTCAAAATGCATAATGATGTTAGGAAAAGCTATACACCTTAAAAGCTTCAAACAACAGCACTCTCCCCTGCTTAAGAAACACAACCTAACCGAATTTTTAAAAGATTTTAATTTGCTACTAAAATTTTGCATTATTGTTCACTCTCTTTACAGTGGTATTATGTAAATAATACCAAGGTAAGAGACAGGGAATCTCAAAGAAGTAGAGTCCCATACAAAATAATTAGAATATAGCCTTAAAAGGACAATTTTCACAATGTCATATGTGTGCAGTACAAGACCCACAGAATTATATGTATATTAATAGAAAATGAGTGTCATATGTCCAATTTCTATTACATGTTGCATATTTTACAGGGGAAGAGTTTTCCTACTTGGGATGCAACAAAAAATGAATATTTCACTTTAGATTTGGCTCCAGAAATGCCTTTGCTATTCTCATCTCTGCTGAATTTAGAACTAGTTTTATATACAGACTTATTTTGGTATAAAAGAAGGAGGAGATGAAACTCCCTTCTAACACACACTCACCCCCACTACCTGATTAGCCTTTGGAAAATGCTTGGACTCGGAGGTTCACTGTCACATTTGTACCACTTGGTTTTCATTGAGTAGATCATGATGTCATCATTATTAGGGATCTCATCGTTCAATCAAAACCCTCTAAGCTTGGGCAAGTCACAACTGCCGTTTACCCCATACCTTTAATAATAATGAAAGCAAAAATGAGAATTAGAAAGCCAAACAATAGACAACATGTCAGCAGTATTTTTAACCTTTCAAGTTTAATGTGAAGCACGTTATGATTAGAAAGATTTTTAAGCAGCTGGCTTTTAAGGACTGTGCACATAGCTACCAAACAGCTGTTACTCCTACTGTCGCTCCTCTCCCCAAGGCACCAGTTAGGACAGTAGTCTGAAAGCACAGGTGAAACTAGATTACAGTTTATTGCAACGAGGGATGGAGCTCTGTGAAGGAAAATTGCCTCTTCAAACATGGAACAGCACAGACTCTTCGGGATGCAGGGGAAGAACTGTGCCCCTCATTGCTTTTGTACAGAAGTAAAATACAAATGCAAAGAGATGTTTTATATCTGGCAGCACAGAAATAATAGATTGTAACAAGGGGATTGACAGGGTCTGAGGTGTTGGCTTGCACTGTACATCTGTGAAAAATAAGGATGGGATCAAGTGCTGAGCTCTTCCCAGCATCCATTTCTTCCTGACCTTGTAGGGTCTCATTAGGGTCTGCAGTGGAGGGTATCAACCTGAACACTGGGGGAACACGAGCAATCTTTAAGTCCTACCGATTCCTTGAGCCGAAGTGAGACAGTGAGAGAAACTCATGCTAGCAGTCCAGTTAAAAGCCTGATGAGACTTTGTAAGGATAGCCAGGGCGGCCTCTCGGTGTCTAAAGGGGGCTGTAAGAAGGCATGGGACAGACTCTTCAGCAGGGTCTGTGGTGGCAGGACAAGGAGAAACGGTTTCAAACTGAAAGAGGGGAGATTTAGACTGCATATAAAGAAAAAGGTATTTTTCAATCACGGTGGTGAGGCAGTGGTACAGGCTGCCCAGAGAGGCGGCGGACACCCCGTCAGCATTTAAACGTAGGGTCGTGGCAGGAAACAGACCGCATTTTAGTTTCAATCTGCCACGTTCTTTAAGCCACCTTAAGCCTGCACACCAAACCTAGAACCACTACGCATAGCTGCGCTACGCCGCTCCGCGAAAGCGAAAGCAACCTGAAGCGCCTCCACGGGGAGGGGCGTTGAGTCGGCGCCAACTGCGGGAGTTCCCCGGAAGCGGCGTTGGTTACCACGGCAACGGCGCAGGCGGCGGCGGCGGCGGGCCTCAACCCGGCCGACATTTCGTAGGCCGAGGTGTGTGTTGCGGTGGGGTGGGTTGGAGGTTGTGCGTGCCGGCGGGTTGGCTTTTTATGAGAGAAAGGGAGGGAGCTCCTGCCGCTTCAGGGCTGCCCTTGGGGCGCAGCGGCTCGCACTCGCTGCCTGTTATCCGTGAGGCTCCGATCAAGAGCTGTGCGAAAGGGCGGGCTTGGCAGCGGTTTCCCGGCTCCGGATCTGGGTGCTGGGCCACTCTGGGCTCTCCGTGTGGGAAGCTGCAGAGCGCTGCCCGCCATCGTAGGTAGCGCTGGCTGTGCCGTGCCGTGCCGCGCCGCTGAAGCACGCAGCTGTGGGTCGTGATGGGTTGTTCTAAGTGTGCATGAGAGGTTCTCTCCTTCCCAGCTCTGATGTCTGCTGTCCTCCCAGGCCTCAGAGTGAAGGTGTGAGATTGCCCGGAGTTAGTTTGTCTGACTGGGGCAGGCAGCGAGTTTTGAACAGGCTGAAATATTTAGCAATAGAAAACGTAAATATAATTCCTCTTCTTGCATTAGTCTTCCTTCAGCATCTTCTACGCTGTTCTGCAGTCTTTGAGCTGTGGTTAGCTAGCAGAGCTTTGTAATTTATACTCCTGTATACTTCACAGGAGCTTCTGCACTTGAAGTGATGTGTTTTGGAGAGCTGCTGCTTTACCCAGCGATTAACACTGGGCTGATCTCTGCATTACAGGCTGCAGCCTGTAAAACAGCTCAGGAATGTAGAACAGTTGGGGAATGTTTCCTTTTGGAAACTTTGTGATTTTTTTTGCAGATCTTACCTCTGAAGTTTACAGACGAGGCTCCAGGCTGCACTAGAAAGTAACGTGTTCTTGAGCAGGGTTTTACTTGATGATAAACAGTAAGCTTTAATTTGCCTCCAGTGTTCATATGTATTTTAAAATAAGGAGTTGGACATAAGGTAAGTGGAGTTAGAAGGAAGCTAATCATGAGGTTTTTTCTTTGACGGTATTGCTGTAGGTAACTTCAGGCTTGTTTAATCTGTTGCACACAAAGCTGTTCTAGGTTACCACCATAGCAGCTTCCTCTGGTGTTAATTAAATGCCTCCTTGTTACTGAATGTGTCACGGTTGTTTGATTTCAGCTCAGAGGGGAAGTTGTTCTCAGAGGATTTGATTCGGGGTAGACGAGGCTTATCCTCTTAGCAAAGTGTGCACAGCCGGGCGCCCCGTGGGAGGCGTGATGGAAACTCCTGGAGTGCAGCTGCCCACTGAGTTGTGTCAGTGTCATGGCAGGAGCAGGGCTTTGGCTTCAAGGTGACACACAGGGGAATGCTGCATTGTCTGTCTTGCTGTGTGCCGAACCTGGTATAATCAGGGTTTCTATTTGTGGCTTATGGGATCTCAATTGACACGTGCTAACGTCGACAAAGCCCATTACAATTAGAGTTTGAATTGAATTGACAGAGTGCGCTCCATTTGCTTCCAGGTTCAGCAACTCACATTAGCAGGCGCTGAGGAAGGTAAATATTGTTTTGCTTTGTTGTGTAAGTTGTGATGACTGAGAGACTGTGGGCAGTTTGAAGTACAGTGTGCTTTACCTCCCTTCTGTGGGTTGAGTGGCAGGTAAGGAGGTGTTGGCATGGTGCCGTTACTGGGGTTGCTTGGAAGCACCACAGAGTTGCTGTCCAGTGAATTGAGGACGGTGCCTTTACATAGGCAGGGCTATAAGCAGCCGATCTCGTTCGTGCGAGGGCTTCTTGGCTGTAATCAGCTTATGCTCCATTTGCTTAGCATAGCACGGGAACCTGCTGCGATGGTGTTTGTGCAGAGTCTTACTGCTGCTGCCCTTTGAAAAGTTTAAGGGCTTCTTATCCACATGCCCACTTGCTGTGCCAGTGCTGCTGTCTGCGTTGCCCTTTTCCAACAGCTATTCCCTCCTCGTATCTTGTGATCCACAGGTGATCTGTGTGTGTTTGACCCAGAACTATGGGACTGTTTGACAAGCTAGCAGGGTGGCTTGGGCTGAAGAAAAAGGAGGTTCATGTTTTGTGCCTTGGTTTGGACAACAGTGGCAAAACAACGATCATCAATAAACTTAAGCCTTCAAATGTAAGTAGCCTATTTTGTTTATTGTTAATGTTTTACTGAGGAGCTGATGTCTGTATAACTGTTTTTTTTTTTTTGTGAGCTGTTATATTGGATATGATCATGAAAAAGATGTAAAGTGTTCTTTGATTTAGTACTGTAGAACAGACATATCTTAAGATAGGCAACCACATGTGTATTGTGAAAATGTTTACCAAGAAACCAATGTTGTTAATGGTCAAAAACCCTTCAATAAGAAAGGGTTTGTGATTACTGAGGAGCTGAAACACTTTTCTTAAGTCACTTAAACGTTAGAGAACTTCACTTAGGATTGATGTGCCAAATGTTGTGGATTAAAACAGTTGCTTAACAATTTGTGTTTGCTTACATTTACCATGCTTTATTTAAAGTCTTCTTGAAAATAATAAATATGTCACAAATAATGGAATAGTAAATAGTGGGAAGGTGAACACTAGCTGGTGACTTCAGCACATTTGAAGCAGAGTAGCTTCCAAAACATTTCTGCTTGCAGTTCATCCAGTGAAAAGTTTTTGCTGGGCCAGTTAGCGTGTCTAGCGTTCTGGGCAAAATTTAAAGGAGGCTTCCCTTGGTTTCACATATGTTTACGGTGGAGAAATAGATCAATATTGGTGGGCATGTTCAGAGGCTGTGTATCCTCGTTATGTGAGTTTGGAATGCTGTGATTTGTTTGTTTGTTTGTTTATTTATTTTGCTTTTTAAATCAGGACACAGCTTTTATTTTTTAACTTCCGTGGAATTTTTCTTGAAGAATACGTCTGGGCCTTGTTTAAATATGTCACTTCATAAAGAGTCCGCTACTCTTCAGACTATGAAATTGCTTACTGCTTGTTGCCAATTGTTTGAGGGAATTGCTACAATTTGTATCAGGCTAATTGTCTATCATTTTAGCAGGATTTTGTGTCATCTATTAAGCACTAACGGTTTCCTAACCAGAGATGAGTGCTGACTTCAAGGTTTATCACAGCAGTCAGTAAAAGAGAAGGTTCTGAGGGAATTACTCAAGTAAATAGAACTTATTTCTTCTTTGCTTTACTGTAAGTCATGCAATGGGAATTTATCAGTGTTTTCATCTAACAAGATGTTTTAGGAGGGTGGCTTTGCATACAACTTTTGGAAATCCTAGCATTGCAAGACAGGGCAAATTCTCAACAGACATCGTTGGATCAGAATTTATGAAATTGGTTTTAGGAAGTTCAGATGGCAGATGATTTTGAGCTCTGGATCAGCATAGTTCTTAAGAACAGCTGCTACCTTGCTATAGGAGCAGTCTGTCTATTGTCTGGCAATTAGAAGCATTTCTCTGCCTGCCTGCAGTTGTTTCTGCTGGGCCCAGTAAATACATTTGAAATAGTAAAGGTGTTATTTCTGTAGCAGATTTTTCTCTTGTTGAAAGGAACTGTCGACTAAGCTGTTTATGATGCTGAAATACCACTGTCATAATAAAGATGTGGAGAGATGAATAAACTAAGCTGTTTCCCTTGTATGTGTGGAGTCAACTGCTTGAATAGAGTTTTTAACGAGGGGCTCTAGGAGGTTTGTGAAAGGATTGTGCATTGCTTTCTCAGCTCTATAATTTAAGGATCTTTCTCTAATCTGAATGTGACCTTTCATCCTGTTCAATATTACTGCTTCTGAAAGGAGTTATTCTGTTGTACCACTTCAGATGATAAACTTTGGCAGCTCAGCAGTGAACGCGGTTACCACTCAGATCTACTGATGATCCTTTACATTTTCCCCATTCCTCTGTGGCAAATGGTGATTTCTTTCAGTGATCTGGTAGTTTGAGTAGAGCTATGATTGGGCAGTTGTGTAATGCCTGCTGTATTCTTGTCAGTGTCAAACCAACCCCTCCAGCCTAGTGGTACACATTGAGTACTGCTCATCTGGTATTTAGATACAAATATACCTTCATTTATCAAAGAGACATGGGGTATCGTGCAGACTTGTTAGTGTTAATCATATATTTTGAGTTTTGACCTCAGTTGCAGTCTTTACACCATTGTCTTCCATTTATTAAAGAAATAAAGATGAACTACATTAATGTCCACACGTACACACACAGCCTAACATAAAAGAGTGAGATCTCATTTCTAAGGCAAAAACATCTTCCATCTGCAAGGCCTCTGTACAGTTGCATCCACTGCTTTTTCAAGAACATGCAAAAGCTTGAATATACAGTATCTGGATTTATAAAAAGCTTGTGGTTAGCATTATATATTTTGTATTGGGAAAAATAGATGTGTGATGTATTGATGTTTCTAATAGAATTCAATATTTACATATTTCCTAACCTGATTTTGAAATCTATACTTTCCTTTCAAGGCTCAAACTCAGGACATTGTTCCAACGATAGGATTCAGTATAGAGAAATTCAAGACATCCAGGTAATGGATCCTTTAATTTTCTCCTTTTAAACTGTAATAATTAATATACAGTAGTTGGACTTGCATCACTCTTTCAGTCTGATGTAATTGAATGTAACTGGTGGTGATCTAATGAAACGCTGTGCAGTTTGCTATAATGTTGTAGTATCCAGAAGTCATAATCACAATTCAGCGCTGGCAATGGTAGAATATATTCTATTTTCTGCTGCTATAAAAATAGCAAATATAAACAAAAGTATATGTGAGCATTTGATTTCAAGTGTTTGAGAATGGAGCACTGTTACAATCTTCAAGAGAGGCAGTTGCTTAGATGGTAACTTGTATTCCATTAAGTGTTCTCACTGAAGAGGCTCTGAAGAGCTTGCAGACTAATCTCATTAAATGAAAAACGGTGGTCACAGCCTTAGCAGTGTGAAGATGGCAGAGGCAAAGGTCAGAAAAGGAAGAAGTTATTGACTGAGTGAAGGCCAAGCTATTAGGAAAGCTGGGATATGTGAAAGTGATGTGGTGAGACAAAGATATTTCAAGGAGGTAACATTAGATATTATTTTATTATTATGTAACCTTCACAGTATTTTTTAATGGGTGCAGTCAATCTGCAAGAAAATTATTTTTTCTTTGACCTGACATGTGGGATTGATGGGTTTCCTATTTCTACAGGAGGTTCACAGCTGGGTTCTTTCCCAGTAAAGCACATATGGCAGGCTTTGGGTTTGACTCTGTGTGAGTTTAAATCTTAAAATTATATTACTTGCCTTTAGTCTGGTCCTGTAATAGGAGACATGATCTGTAATTATGCAATGTAGATCTAAAAAAAAGAGAAGCTCTTCAATCTTCTGTCGTGATTGAAACATACTTTAAGAGTTGCTAAGAACTAAGGCAGTTAGTCTAGGAATTGATCGTATCAGGATATAGAATGGTAAGGCTGTTTTGAGATCTTCCTTTTCTGGAGCTCCTTGCTTTGGTATTGTCACCACTCTGGGAGTTATCTGGGACTTCCCAAGCCATGGAAACCTAATTTTTGTTTTCAGTCTTGCTTCTGTAGTCATTGCAGAAGTGGATCAGAGTTTACTTGTAGTGTTATATTGGTTTTGGGTTTTGTATTTGGGTAAACTCTATGGTTGCAAAAGCCTATCTTTTATAGCTTGGTCACCTGCAGTAACCTATTATTACCAGAACATGATGTTCTTCTGAAGTTGGAGTGTTTGGGGTTTTTTTGTTGTTGATTTCATAAAGCTGTTTTTGCCTACAGAATCCTTTTGATGCTATTTGTGCCTGTGTTGTGACAAAATTCAAGATAGGCTTTGGAATTTAAGTTGTGACTCTTCTGAATTGTTTGAAGAGAGTCCCTTGAGAGATGGTGCTGAAGGGCAAAAGGTTCCAAGAAGGTTGGATATTCCATAAGAAGCAAATCTTAAGGGTGTAGGAGCTGGCCATTCCCATGTGTGATAAGATGAACTGGCAGGGAAGAAGACTGGTGTGACTATCAAGGGAGCCTTTGCTGAGATTCTTGAGAGGAGAAAAAGATAGCTTACCACCTTCAGAAAAAGGGGCAAGCAACTTGAGATGAGTATGGGAATGTTACCAGGATACGCAGAGAAAAAATTAGAAAAGCAAAAGCCCACCTAGAACTTATCTGTCCACCATTGTAAAAGATAACAACAAAAAAAGCTTTTACAAATACATTAATAAAAAAAGGAGGGAAAGGAGAATCCTTCATTACCACCAAGGATGAGGAAAAGACTCAAAGCCTTTTTTGCTTCTGTATTTAACAGTCATTACAGTTATCTTCAGGTTACTCAGCCACGTGAGCTGGAAGACAGGGATGGGGAGCAGAATAAACTTACCATAACTCAGAAGGAAACACTCAGCAACCTGCTACCCCATCTAAACTGTCACAAGTCCATGGGTCTGGATAGGATCCACCCAAAGGTACTGAGGGAACTGATGGAAGTGCTCACCAAGCTGTGTTCCATCATTTGTCAGCAGTCCTGGTCAACTGAAGAGATCTCATTCGCTGGGGACTTGCAGATGTGATGTCCATCTACGAAAAGTTTTGGAAGGAGGATCTGGGAAACTACTGTCAGCCTGACCTTAGTATCAGGGAAGGTCATGAAGCAGATCATCTTAGGTGTGATTATGCAGCATCAGTAGGATGACCAGGGGATCTGGCCTGGTCAGCATGGATTCAGCAGGTCCTGCCTGATCATCCTCATCTCCTTCTATAGCCAAGTTGGGAGGAAGGGATCTGGATCAGCTGGATTAATGAACTGAAACCAGTTGTTTGAGGTTCAACAAGACCACATGCCAGGTGCTTCACTTTGGCCACAACAACCCCTGCAAGGTTGCAGATTTGGACAGAATGGCTGGAAAGCTGCATGGCAGAAAAGGATGTGGGAGTGTTCATCGACAGCTGGCTCAACATGAGCCAGTAGTGTAGCCAAGAAGGCCAATGACATCCTGGTTTCTACAGAAATAGTGTAGCTAGCAGGACTTGGGAAATAATTGTCCCTCTGTACTTGGCTCTAGTGAGGCCAAGTACTGTGTTCAGTTTTGGACACTTCACTACAAGAAAGACATTGAGGCCCTGGAGCATGTTCAGAGAAGGGCAACAAAGGTGGTGAAGGGTCTGGAATACAAGTCTTATGAGGATCAGGTGAGGGAGCTGGGATTGTTCAGTCTGGAGAAGAGGAGGCTCGGGAGAGACCTTATCACGCTCTACAACTGCCTGAAAGAAAGTCGTGGCAAGATGGGGGTTTGCCTTTTCTCCCAGGTAACAGCAATAGGATGAGAGGTAGTGGCCCTGTGTTGTGCCAAGGGAGATTCATAATACATTATAAAAACATGGATATTAGGAAAAAATTTCTTCTCAGAAAGAGTGGTGAGATGTTGGAACAGGCTGCCCAGGGAAGTGGTAGAGTGTGTTGAAGAACCATGTAGATGTGGCACTGAGGGACATGGTTAGTGGGCATGGTGATGATGGACTGACGGATGGACTGGGTGATCTTCATGGTCTCTTCTAACCTTAATGATTCACAGATTCTATGAATTTTATTTACTCAGTGTTATAAACAATAGTCAGTATTAATGTGGTAAAAGGAAAGCCTGAATGGGAGCTTATTTTGTATTCAGTGCAACTTTTCATAATTGATTTAAGCAGATAATATACAAACGTGTTTTCTGTTGTGAAATATGGTAAGACCACATAGCTAAGTAGGGTAGATGGAAGACAGGTGCAGTATCTGTCTAAGTAGGGATAGATGGAAGGTACAGTATCCAGGTTCAGTTTTGAATCTTTTGCAGATGGTTGGGATTTTAGTTTTTTGCTTTGTTTTTGTCAGAGTAGCAAAGAAAATAGTTTGATTTTGTTCTTTGTGTCTGATTTTCTTCTTTCCTTTGCAGTTTGTCTTTCACAGTTTTTGATATGTCAGGCCAAGGCAGATACAGAAACCTCTGGGAACATTACTACAAGTAAGCCTATTATTTGTTTTAAAACCTTACTGTTCATATTAGCTGTCATGTACATTATTTAGACAGAAGTCTAATTACTTTTACTGTTCAGAAATGATTCAGAGAAGACTTATGCCTTGGGTTTGACAGGAGGTTGTTGTAGATTAAAGGAATTCCTTTAAAAAACAAACAAAAAAAGAAAGAAAGAAAAGGGTCTTTTGTACACTGTTAACTAATACACTCGTGGGAACAACTTGTTACCACTGAGATTAGGAGATTATGCTGTAGATGAGATTGCTCTTTCTTCTATAAAGCTTCAATCCTGTAAGAAAGCACCAAGGTAAATTAGTTTTTTTGCTTTTCTGTTCCTCTGTAGGTAAGAGACTTTAAGATTCAAAAACCGTTGGCTGATGGCTGAGGGTGTTTTTGGTGGTGGTGATGGTGTTGTTGTTTTTTTTATCTTAGGATCCTCAGAGAATGAGGTATTACTTATAAACCAAGTATTCTTTCTTACTTTACCAAAATAAATGTTATTTATTAAGCAGGATATTTCCATACTTTATATAACTTTATTCATGGGCTAATATTCATGAAATGGCTTGGTTTGGAAGGAACCTTAATGCTTTTGTTCCAACCCTCCTGCCATGAGCAGGGATACTTATTGCTTGATCAGGCTGCCCAAAGAAAGCCCCATCCTTGAACACCTCCAGGGATAGGGCATCCACAACTTCTCTGGACAGCCTGTTGCAGAGATTCACCACTCTCATAGTGTAGAATATCTTCACTATCTAATCTAAATCTAGTTTAACTAGTGTTCTGATTTAAAACTGTCAATCCACTGTGTATCCTTGAAAAGATCCTCTCCTCTTTCCTGTAGGCCTCCTTTAGGTACTGGCAGGCCACTATAAGGTCTCCCATCAAAACCTTCTCTGTAGGTCCATGTCTCATATGAGGGGCTTGGGAGTTGATGCAGTACTCAAAGAATTGCCTTATTGGTAGAAGACACTGTTGTCTTTTTTTTTTTTTTTTTTAGTTTCTAATGAAATTTGAAGGTTTATTTCTGTTGTTTCATTTCATTGTTCTGTAATATCTGCTGCTGAGTTATATGAGATGAACATTATTAAATCATGCGTACTGGTTGTATTTTCAGTTCTGGAGATTATAAAGTTTGATTTGATAGAACTTGAGGTATTCTTTAATTGAGGATTAATGCTTCATCTCATTCTCATGCAAAAAAATGTGTTAGCAGTTCAAAAGCTTGCATGGGCAAGAGATTTTCATTGTTGTTCATGAATTAGTTGTTTTTCCCAGAAATTTTGAATTTCAGTGATGCCCTTAGACTGCTCTTAAAATGCCAGTTGAGAGCTTCGCAAGCAACTCATTTTTCTCACTGCTATAATTATACAGCAAGGTACCCTTTGTGATGCAAAAACTGTTTTGTTTTTTTAATGTTAACGTGAAGGGAGTTTCTTAGATAATGCTGACAGTGAAATGTGCACTTGTATTCACTTCTGTTCCTGACCTAATACAGGAGTCAAATATTTAAGATTAACTTCTGCTAAAAGATCTCTATATAAATAATTATATACAATATAGTTGATAAAGTTAAGCTAGATTATGCAAGAACAGCCCATTTTAGCAGTTAATTCTGATTAAGAACCTGTATCTAAATAGTTGCCTTAAAATGCATAAAGCTTTCCCTTTTCCTGCATTTGGCTTGAAACTACTTTCTAGGATGCCATCGAAGGGCACATCTTAATTATTTGAAAACCCTTGTGTTCTTATCACTGCCAGCTGTTTTTCCAAATTATTTTTGTAGTAAAGATGTGCTGGAGTCTGATTGTTGTAGACAAATGTTGTATGGTCATAAAAAATACATAGGCCTTTTCGGCTTATATTCAGAAGCTTTATTTATTGTTGAAGTTCTTCTGTATCTCAGAAAATAAGGAACATTCTCATACGGTCTTAGACAAGACAAGTTATTCCTTTTGCAGAAAGCCTAGGACTGAAGGATTTTTTGTTGAGTTCTGATTGAAAAACAAAGACTGATGGGGCTGATTGAAGAAATATCTTGTAATGGTCTCAGAAAAATGTAAAACAAAAGAGAAATAAGTAGTGCATTAAAATGGAAATTAAAAATACTTTTTGTGGGTCTCCTATAGCAACTCACTTGTATTGTTCAAACTTTATTTTGCTTTCAAATAAGTCTCGATAAATGAAATACGAAGTCATACAACATCAGTAAAATGCTGAAATCATGAGCTGAATAGCATGTATGCATGTTTTGTCTATGGTGATACTGCCAGCAAGTTGTCTTAATGATTTGAAGTAGTTGAAAATGTTCACTTCTTATTCAAAAGCAAAAAAGATCTTAATGCAGACTGTTGTAAAAGTTAAATAATCCGAATGTGCCTAGTTGTTAAACTTAAACATGTGGACATGCATTTTATCTTTGGAGAATGCTCAATTTTTTATTGTTTATTCTTTAAATAGACTTCTTTTAGTGTAGGAAACAAAGGGTTTTTACAAAAAAACCTTCCTTGAGTGTAGTAGTTTTGATTACATTCTCACACTTCATTTTTCAACCTGGTGGTGGTGAAATCAGGATTTCCAAAGGGTCTGTTCTATAGCCTGAGTCCTGCACAAGTCATGCAGCTCATGTCTCAGAAGAATTTATGCAGGTTACCAAAAGATTGAATTTCAGAAATAGGGCTGGATTCAAATGTTAATGGTAAATAACAACAGAAAATGAGAGGAAAAAATCAGGTTTGTTTGCCTTTTCTGGTGTTTCTTCTGAAGCCTTAATCACAGTCTGAGAGAACCTATAATTTGCCTCTTTGCTCTTTTTATGTTATGCAGAGAAGGCCAGGCCATTATTTTTGTCATTGATAGCAGTGACAAATTAAGAATGGTTGTGGCCAAAGAAGAACTTGACACTCTTCTGAATCATCCAGGTGAGGAGACCTCTTTCCCCTTCTGTGTCCATATTTGTTATATTGTAGTAAGAACAGCCCTTCTTATCTGATACATTCTGATATCTTATAAATATTTTAGATGTACATGAATATTAGAATGAGAATGATGGTCATGAGTAAGTCTTTGGGGTTGGGCTTTTTGGTATCCTTATTGAGTTTTACAAGCTGATCATACCAAAGCTGGGTACATTGAGTTGGACTCATCTCTTGTTAATCCATATGTAACAAAAATGGTTTGAGGAAGAACTGATTTTAACCTCTTGGAAGCTAGAGTGCTGCCTGTATGTGGTGACCAACATACACACCAAAAAAATTTGCTTTTCTGATTATTTTTTTTTTCCTGTGAAGATGGGTAATTCTTTTAATGAAACTTTCGGTTTTTAAATCTCATCTGTTTGTTTGTTTGTTTTTCTGATTATCCTCATTTCTGGCTATCATGTATATAATTATACCAGACAGTTTAAATTGCTTATAAAAGGATAAATTGGATGGAAGAAGGTACATGAAGATTCGTGATAAGGCACTTGTTTTTAAGGGTTTGTTTGTTTACTCTGAGTCTGTATTCTCTTAAGTTTTGAGATCAGTCAACTCTTCCATTATTCACTTTTCCATATATGGAATCAAATTTATGTATTTCTAAGCAATATGCAGTTTTGTCTGGCTTTTGGGATAGTAGGTGGTTGCTCTGAGCAGCTAGAGTGTGAAATGCAGGAAATTTGAAGCAAAATTGTACTGCATTTTCATTAGTAGAGTAGCTAGTAGAGCTAATAGAGCCTTAACTTATGGAGTTACTTTGCTGGAACTAAGAAAGGAGAAGCTGGTTTCTGTATTTCTAACCAAGGATAGTGATATGTGGCAGGAGCAATTGTATTGCTACAGTTTCATTTTCCATGTAGACTGCATCTAATACATGAATAGATCAGCAAAGACGTGGCAGCTAACTGTGTGTGAGCTGACTGAGCCTTCTTTGTTTCACATTCAGCAGTACGGTTTACCTCAAATGTGTGCATTGAAATGCCAGCCTTGCAAAGTTCAAGGGGAGGGTAGAGGTGAACCAAGGGCTGAAGGTGGATTACCTATGGATTAAGGAATTTTGTAACAAAGCAGGTATTAACCACATTTGTAAAAAGGTGATTCTGTAGATAAAATGGAAACCATGGAAAACCGAGGATGAGAGGTAAAGATTGTGATAGTATGTTGTGAAAATATTAAGGCTGAGGATATGCAAGCTTAGGTGTTTTGTTTGGGAATTAGCAGGTTACTAACACTGATCTTGTATGTCAGAACTGTTCAGTTCTTGATAAATTTGATGTCTTCTAGTTTTGAAAGATCATGGCTGTGCCTACTTAGAATATTCCCCAGAACAGAGAACAGACAATTCTATATTTTTGCCTTGGAGCAGCTTAGATTGAGTGCAGTAGTAGTGTTCTTGTTTTATTGTTTTGGATTTTAATACGTCTTAAGAGAAGCAAAGCATGTTTGATAAAAGTGGATTTTAACTGAATTTTAACTACTTAAATCCTTTTAACTACAGCTGTTTTACTAAAGTAATCATAGAATAGTTTGTGTTGGAAGGGACCTTTAAGATGATCTCATTCCACTCCCCCTGCTATAGGCAGGGACACCTCCCACTGGACCAGGTTGCTCAAAGCCCCATCCAACCTGAGTGCTTCCAGGGAGGGGACATCCATAAACTCTCTGGCCAACCTGTTCCAGTGTCTCACCATCCTCGCAATAAAGAACTTCTTCCTAATATCTAGTCTAAATCTACCCTCTTGCAGTTTAAAGCCATTTGTTCTACTCTTCTGCATACCTTGCTTATTGCTCTTCTTTGCTTCTGCCTCTGCAAACCTTGGCTCGAATGTGCATGTTTAGTTAAGGTTTAAATGCATGCTGGTTAACAACCTTATGTAAATTCCAGTCTCTGAAAATTCTAGGTAATCCTTTAGTATAACAGGAAGTTCCATCTCTTTTTGCCAGGTTTTGTCTAAAGAGGTTAAGTGAAAGGGAACATGTAATGTGAAGTGTTAATGATGGTAGAAGTTGTACTTCCTGGGACTGTTTCATTGATCAGAACCATTTCCTTTTTACTTGTAGAGGGTACTGTCCACAAACATATAACATCTTGTTTAATGATCACTATTATCATATTATTTTGTTTAGATTATCTGTTTAGATGTTGACTCTTGGGTCACTTGCCCTCCAGCACATGCTTCTATATAAAGAATATTGAATGTATAGAAATTTCATGTTATTTAAAAGCTGCCCATTGCACTTCTGTGGTGTTTGAGTTTTCTTAATGTGTTAGCTCATAGCAGTTTGTTACAAGAAAATGTTAGCCTTCCATTAGTAAACATCAAAAGTTGGAGGGGAAGTGGGAGTCATGAATGTGGCATAGTTGGAAATAATGTAATAAGGTAGGAAAAATATAAATAGCTGTGGCTATCAGTTTATTTAGGAAACAACTAAGGGATGGGTAGGTGTCTGCCACCTTCCCTAGCAGGGTCAGCTGACTTATGTTTAAGGCTCCAAATAAGTCCTTAGCTTGTTTCCTGTGTGAAACATCCTTTTCCTTATACTGTTCGAAGAAATATTCACCAGTTTTTTTTTAATATCTTTTCCTATCAAAAATTCATTGGCTCAACTCTAGATTTTTGGTAATCCTGTAACTATTTATTTTTTTATTATTATTATTATTTTTTTAATAATGTGAAAAATTCTTAGCATTGATACTAGTAATTTTTATGCCATTTTGTTCTCTTCAAGCTGACAGATGTATACTTTGTTTCCTTGTAATGGCTCTTTTACCTTTTGTGGTAATCAGAGAGGCTTATGCTTTTTGCATGCATGAGTATGCTGGAGATTGGCATTGTACCAAGGTCATTGGTTTGCTCTGTGGTTCCCATTGCTGACTGAGACAAGCTTCTGGAAGTGAAGTCTTAGTTCAAGTGAAAGTGGGACAAGAGGTGTCCAGATGTGTACATTTTTCCTGTTTCATGATTTTTTAAAGAAAGCCAGGGATGCTCTCCAAGATATAATAGGATAATGCGGACTATTCGTGTGATTCTGCTTTTGGGACGATATGAATGAATGCAAATCATTCTTAACATCCATTTTACATATCCAGATTTCACTAAGCAGAGATGTGTAGTATTTTTAGAGAGCTGTTTGAAATCCTGCTCTTCTTCACCAGCAATTTATGCGTACAGCTTTATATATAAGGTAGGGGGAGAGGTGGGTGGAAGATCCCAAAGCTTCCCAGAAAGTTTGTGGGCATTCTTGAAGCATGCGTCAGAGGCCACGTGACCCAACAGCAAGCATCTTGGTAGGATACAGTCTTCAAAGAGTTGCAGTTACAGGTGAGCAAATTATTTTCTTTTATCATTTCCAATTTATTGCTTGCATAGGTGGTGTTGCATATTATCATAGTAGTTCTACTTCTACTCACTCCTAGATATTAAGCACCGTCGACTGCCTATTCTTTTCTTTGCTAACAAGATGGACCTCAGGGATGCAATATCATCTGTGAAAGTATCTCAGTTATTATCATTAGAAAACATCAAAGACAAACCTTGGCATATCTGGTAAATTTTCTTTTTATTTCTTCATTTGTATTGGTGTTAATTTGTACATTCATATTCTGGCACTCACATAAAGAGTGGCATGAAATACAAACTAAATAAGCCAGATAAAATGCTGTGCTGCTATATGTGGTAAGAGTAGGAACATTACAATACTCGCTGTGAAATTTCTTTTAAACACATGATGCTTTCACATAGATCATGACTTGAAGATTTTCACAAGAGATCTGTTACCCAAATAATAAAATAGAAAACTTCACAGAGCTCAAAATGTTCTTATCAGAAGAGTAGCTGCAACTATTTTTGTTGGGAAGTAGAACTATTGTATTTCCTTTGCTGAAGGATGTAAAGATTTCCTATAGATAAAACAATTTTGTCTGTACACACAGAGGAGGGGAGAGAAAAAAAACCTCTTTCATAAGTGCTTTGCAGGTGTTAGATTTTTGTTTTACCGAAGTTCTCAGATATTATGAATTAAAAGTAAGTTCAGCAGCTAAATGCTGCTGAAAAATAAAATGTTCATTTATGCCCTTTACTATTAAATTTAATTTACTTGGGTGTTATTTTGGGGTCCCAGCTTTGCACTGATGGATTCTCAAGCTACTTGAAAAATAATTTTATAGATAACAATAACAGCGCAGATTTGCTACTGAGCTAAATTTCATAAGCTGCAGAATGAGAAGCCTTAAACAGTTGCGCTCTTTAGATTCTCACTGTTCTCATGGCAGCTTGATTTTCTCTATTTTATATATAGACAGTTCTAGGATGTATAGTAGTTTGACAGCTTCACAGTGTATAGAAACTGCATGGGAAGAGGGACAGAGCTACTTCGTTTACTGTCTACAGTAACACTGATGTATCTTCTACAGCAGTGTCTGCAGAGGGTGTTCCTTAAGTGTATCTGCAGCAGAACAGCATGGCTCTCCCTTGTGTAGGTGCTCTTCCAGAGCCCCTCATGTTCTAGGAATGATTCCTCAGCCTGAAACTAGAGTAGTTTCTCAAAATAAAATTGACCACATCTTAAAATGGTATTCCCACATTGGAAATGCACTCTAGAATACATCATTTGAGAAGCAGTCTTCTCCAGGTGAGGTAAACTGAAGTGTAGTTTCTGCTACTTCACAGTTCTGAAAATTACAGGTTTGGTTATGAAACTGGTATTATTGCAAAATTTTCATTATTTGATTTGTTTCTTTCAGTGCCAGTGATGCTCTTAAAGGAGAAGGCTTACAGGAAGGTGTGGACTGGCTCCAAGGTATACTGTTCTGTACATAATTATTGCTCTGTTTTCATTCTGTTAAACTCTGATTTTTTTTTAAGTTTTTATTTCCTTTGTTTTCTTTCTGTCCAATTCTGCTGTCAGATCAAATCACACAGTGAGTATTGATGCTCTATCTCATACTTACCTTTCATTTATCCCCTAATACACACACAAAGATCATATCAGATCCTCTGCCAAAATACAGTACAAAACATTATACATACTCTCGCAAACAGAGCAAAACGATTTCTTGCAGAAATAGATACCTGGTGCTCTTGAACTTCAATTTTTATAGCAGTAACTCAGTTTATATTTGAACTTATTCTTACTTTCTTGTCCCAGTTTTCCATATCTCATTGTTGTGTATTTGGAAACAACGAATAAGCAGGTTAAAAAAATAAATACACTGCTTTTGATCATTCAACTTCAGTTCTTTAGCCAGGTTAGGTTATAAGGATTCTAGTATATGTAGACATTCATAACTACATAGAAAATAAGGGATCTGGCTTAGACAATGTAACATACACACTCAGTTGTGAACTTGGTTTGTTTGCTCTGTATCTCCTTATGTTGCATACTGGTAAGGATCTGGTCTCTTTTGTCCTCCCATGTACAGCTAGATGTATAGAACAGTGAAGTGTGGTATTGTTCCAATTTTAGCTCCCTCTGTCTAATGTACATTGCTTACATTGTAAATGCATTGCATAGTGTAGTATAATCTGAGAAGAAAATGTGTGAGATGATTTGTCTGGATAAGTGTTCTGTGCTGTGGTAGCCACTAGATGTCAGCAATGTACCAGATTCAGTGCCATTAATTTCCTTAAAAGGTGCAACTAAATATCTAGCATTGTACCTGATTGTCTCCACTTGTTCGTGGATACTGTTAGAAATGTTTCATTCTATTATATTTTTAAGGAATAAAAACGTTTGATAATCTTTTCAGGGGAAGGGATGCTATCTGGTAGTAGTCTTCCCAAAGAGATTTGTTGCCTAGCAGAAGAGAAGTTATGCATCCTCCAATATTTAAAAGAATTTTGTAGTGGAGATGCAGCATCTTACTATGGAACCTCCTTCACTGTCATTTTGTATCGCAGAGAATAGATTCCAAATCATGTATTTCCTAATTCTAGGCATAGTTCTCATTTTGTAGTCTCTTCTTGTTGTTTCCTGAGCCTCTGCTTGTCTTTGAGGAAAATTCTATGTTTCAGTCCGAATTTGGAGCTGATGATTTTGTACATCACATCAAGCTACTTAAATACATCGCCATAAAGTATTTAGAGAAGCGTCTGAGGTGCTTCTAAGTTGTATATGTAGATTTCTAAGCTCTGAAAGCAGGTAATTGTACTGTTGCTTATTTATAAAGCTCTTCATAGCTATTCATTTCTCGTGGATAGCTGAACTTACTAATTTTCTGAGCTGAAATTCTTCTGGCAGAGATTTTACCTAAAAGAATAATGACTAGCTCTCAGCTCAGTCCTCCCTAAAAGCTTCAGTGGGATTGAGTTAAACTTGGTGGTTATACCTTTGTTGGATGAAAAATAAATTTCAATTCCAAGATTCAATTTCTACTACAGTTCTCCTGCCCATTTCTGGAGCACTGAAGGGGAAAAACTGGTACAACTCAAAGTTATGTTGGTACTTAAATCCTGTTTTTTGGATGTCGCAAACTTAAGTGAAGGAACAGATACCGGTTTAATGAAATATAGAGTACTTTTTCTTAACAGCAATACTTTTCTCAGTTCCTGTTTCCAGACCTGTTTATGGGTCTTTTGCAGCTCTTTGTAGGTTTGCTGATTTGAGAAGGGACAGATCTTGCCCCTTTTCCCTCAGCAAATGCTGATATTGTTTATTTCCATGTTTTATAATGGGGATTTTTATTGCAACACCGTATCATCAGTAAGGTAAAACTAGCCTGTCTCATGCTGGTCTAAACATAGCTCTCATTCCCTACTACTGCTTGTAATTAAACTGTGCTGACATCAACATTTTATAATGGGAATGCAATATATTTATGCTAACGAAGAGAACGTTTGAAGTAAATTTGGAAGTGGCAATCAGGCTCTCTGTATGGAAAAGCATGGTTACTGAGAGCAAGGTTGTTTCTATGTGAATTATGCAAAAACCAACTTTGGTGTTCATGGCTGTTGGGGATTCAGTACTAATTTGGTTATGTGGAAACTGTAATGTGTGCAAGGAATTGAAATGTGTATTTCATAGTTTTCAGACTTTGTTCTTGTCAGAGTTCCTTTATAAGCTGTAAATAATTTAAAAAAAATTAATTATGTGAAAGATTATTCCTGATTAATAACCTATATTTGGGGAAAACTGCTTTGCTATGGAGGAATATCGGTATTGGATAACAGAGCAAGCTGAAAACAACTGCAGCAAACTGCACTGTTCTCCCCATTTTAACTACACCAAAAATATCTATTGACATTGTTCTGTAACATGGACATACTGGGTTTATGTATTCAAAGTGAAATGGAACAATTATTCAGCTTACTTGTTGTTAATACTAGATGTTTCTTTTTCTTAACAGATCAGATGCAAGCAATGAAGACATGAGAGATAAATAAAAGATGTATGGTGTTTTCTCTTACAAACTTTGCTAGCAGCTGACCAGTTCTTGGAAAGGAAGAAAGGCTTAAAGGAAATGGAACACTTCAGCTAAATATTCTGTGATGATTTGTTTCCTTTTAGTATCTCTACCAGAAAAAGTAAATATAGATAACATAGTATCTCAGGTATGCACATCCATGAATTAAATTGAACTGTGTGACAGGGGAGCATATTTAAAACCAAAAATGTGTAAGTAATAAGCATCTGCATTCATTTGAGTTTTTGGTGATAATTAGCCATGGGGCAGTGTGCCACTTCTGGGGGGACAGTAACTTTTGAACAAACGGAAGTATTGATATTCCTGAGGATGAGTAGTCAGTACTTCCTGAAATGAACTACATGAAATATCTAAAATAGAGTTCCTACAAACAGTAGGTTTTTTTAATTGAAAGTTTTGACATTGAGATTTTTTCAAGTGACTATCTGCAGTAGATTGCTAGAAGAATATTTTGAGGTTAAGATGGGTTCAAATGTTAAATGCAGCTTTTACAAATGACTGCAGATGTTTTGAGGAATTTCTCATTATCAAATGTTACAAACATTTTCTGTGCTATGTCATGGTTATATTTGTATTCCCATCAATAAAACTTCAGATATACAACATGTCATGTTTTTGCTTTTTTAGACATAAATATGTTCATTGATGCTCTCTACGTGGTAGAGAAATTTGCTTTTCAGTTAATCTCATTTGGATTTTTTGTCCATTTTTTAATGCAAGTAGGATTTTATAATAAAGCAGTTCCTCTTTTTTCAATCTTTTTTTTTTTTTTTAATTGCATACAGTTCATCTTTCTAATAAGCAAGACTGCAGTTTCAGGTGTTTATGAGCGTATGACTGAAAATTACATTTTGGAAATACAGTTAAGAGGCACTAGTCTACTAGATCACTAAAATTTAATATGTATTATACTTGTCTTGTGCATAAAAACTATTTTACTTTCAAGAATGACTTTAATAAACTTTCTGACTTCAAAGATACACTCCAGGTAACAAATTAAGGTAGTGCTAAGCACTTTATTTTTGTCATGCCACCTCTTCCCATTTTAATGCCTCTTCCCATGTCTGATTAACAGGAGAACTTGCACTGGGAGTGATGAAGGTGGTTCTTTACTGTATTTTTCTCCCACTACCTGATTCCTGTGGGAGATGCGACATGTAGGTTTTGAAAAACTTTTTCCCCTGTGTTAATGTTTAAAACACAGAGATGTTCTGTAAGCAATGCCTTTTCTGGCTCACTTAATAGAGGAATATTTGGAGCAAAGGGAGCTACCTGAAATGGTAAAACTTTCATGTATTTTCAGCTTTTTAAACAGCTAATTCTAAGTCACTTGCTCTGCTCAAGGCAATGCTTACTGTAATAATCTTTCTTACTGGATACTATTTTTCTGACAGTTGTTTGTCATGAAAATATTTGTTCTTGAAGCCCATTTCTGTGCCACCTTTGGCCTTCTGTCAACTCTGCATCTCAAATGTACATAATTAAATATGAAAAAAGAAAACTCATGTACAACTCTGAGAGGTTTTACTAACTTGGAATTTTGTGGAAAATAACTTTTGGCTTGCTTTGCATTGGATGTTATGGTAACAGTACTTGTTGGAAGCATTTTTTCATAGTATAAATATTTTGTAATTATTTTGGTTCACTTAGATGACTTATTTAAATGAGATATTTAATTTTAAGTTGGCATTATTTTTTTCCCCTACTAAAGCAAGATTTAAATTCTTAAATAAAACCTATCTCCATTTCTGCTTTTATTGAATAAAAGTATTTCTGTACATGGACCTTAATGACTTGCTGATAAATTCTTTATTTACGTTGGACCGCACAAAATACTGTGTTTTTCTTATGGATTGCCTTTATTTTCATGGGAAGCTGTTTGAACTTAGAGCTTTGTTCTTTCACCCACAAATCAGAGGGAAGTACCCTGTTACCTTCTACTTTTTGCTTTCCAATGCAGTTAGTAAGCTCTTTGAAAACAGCATTATGTTAGTTATGATGATTACTGTTACTCCTTTTTTTTTTTTTTTTGGCACCTCAGTAGATCTTTGTGTGGATGGAGATTTCTTTGAAGAAGTGAGGATATTCAAGTGTTTCCTTTTTCCATTACTGATTCAGCCATCATGCTTCTCCTAGAGCATTTATGATCGTTCTGTGCAATATAAAGCTGCATTTTTGCTTGACGTTACCATACTGACGTTACCATACGTGACAGGTTAAGTGCAAAGTTGAAAGGTAATAAAGTGACAAAAAGACTCTCTGAGACCCTTTGATCTTGACAACCCACACAATGTGATGCACTGTTGCTTCTTTGCTACATATTTATGAATTTTCTTAAAAATATGCCTGATCACATATGAAACTGGATAGCATATTTAATTGAAACATGAAGAAGTCACTTAGGCATGCAAAGTGCTGCATTTTACATCTCCTCTTTACAAGCAAGGGATAATCAAGGAAATGTGTGGATCTGAATTCTTTCTAGCTTTGTCTCTGGTACTCGGGACACAAGTCCCTGGGAATTTTGTGCGTTTAAACCTGTAGCTACTTGCTGGTACGCTGAGATTCAGCATGGTCTGATGACTCCTAGGCAATTTTTCTGCTAAACAAGTGGATTTCTAAGATTAGGTTGTAAATGTAATGGATCCGTCTTTTATCCTTGCAAACTATTATAATATGTGCCTTGTTTTCTTATGTACTAATGAGAAGGACAGTTTGCTATGAAAGATTAGGCATAGCAGATCAGTGGCATTGCTTAGTTGTCTGCAGGAAGGCATTCTGGTGTGATAATACAGGGAATGGTAGCATTGTATTTCAGTGCCTCCTTAAAAAAGCTGTCCAAATGTCTTGCTGCTTCTCTTACAAAACAGGTCATTGCTTTGAAGCTGTAACTATGAAATAACTTTTTTTAACAGTAAGCCATAATAATTCTGATTCAAAATATTTGTCTTATAGATAACATTTCTTATGTGAAGTTGGATCTAAAGAATAGGACTTCCAAATGATTGCTCTCCTTATCATTTGTCATCTGTTTCTTTAAATCTTTCTGGCTTGCCTCATTTCTGTTGCACAGAAATCCTTACAAATTGTGCTCCTAAACTTTATGTTCTGTTCCTTTTAACTTTGTCTACGTCAGAGAACCTGCCTTTTTTTTTTTTTTCTTGTTAAATTATTCAATTACTACACTAGTGACACTTTGCAGTTTCTTTTGAGAAACAAAATACATGAGAGAAGATCACAGGAAATTGGAATAGAAAAGCAAGAAAGGGAACTACTAAGAAAAGACTTCAACTGTTCTCTTTTGGAAAGGTCAGGAAAAGTTTGCTCTGGAAGGTCACTTTGGTATGTCCTGATCTTTTATTGTTGCTGCTGTACAGCCCATATTTGACTGCCTAATTTATAAAATGTGCTGTTACTATGCCAAGGAAATGTTTTGGGTACTGTCTAATCAGAATTTGGGATTTACAGTGCAGTCTTTTAACAAGTAAAAGTGCCAAGTATTTTTAATAATATTCCATAACCATATTTCAGCTCAAAGACTCTGTAGCTCTTGTCACATTAAGTTACATCATGAAAGCAACTGTGTTGGTGTGAACTAGTGTTCAATCAATTGGATTGATGCTTAATTGGCCAGATATTTCTATCCACATGAGGTTCTGCTTGTTCTCAAGAGTATGGTGCTAAGATGTTCTGTTCCAGTCGATGTCAGAATCTCTCTATGAAAATCTTCTGTGTTTACTTCTTCCACTTTTCTAACAATTGCATGAAACTCACTCCCACTACCCTTTTTCAAAATTGATCTTTAAAATGAAAGGCTGGTAACATTATTATTTTTTTTTTTAAACCATTAAGTGATCTTACATCCTACAAAATAGTTTTCAGAAAATGAAGTTGTATTGCAATCACGTTACTTGGATGTCAACTCACAAGAGAGTGTAAGTTCTCTATGATTCAGTGGACACCTTTGAAAATCAGGTGAACTCATTCAGTAAATGGAATGTATGCTTAGAAACTTCATATTGGGCAGTATTTTAAAAAAACATCTTTGGAGATCAGCAGATAAACTGTAGATTTAGCAAGATAGTTTTTGGAGCTTCAAAGTTCTCCTTCAGAGAACCAAGTGGAGTTCTCTGAAGAGTTGCCTCACTGTTCTCATTAAAGGGAAGAAAAGGTAATAAGAAAAGGATGGAGGAAACTTGCATGTGTGGAAGGAGCTTGTGTGGGTTGGAGTAGTCATGCTAATGCTAAAGAATATTAATGAAGCCCAAGCCTCTTGAGGCTCAGTGAAGAAGCCGTGTTAATTGAAGTGGATGTTTGGCAGTACAAGCTCTTTAGTAAAGAGCATGGCCCTATTACAAAACTGGTTTTGCAGACCAGGATAGTTGTTGCTGAGGACCTGATGTGCACAGTCCGTTCCTCTCTGAGGTTTCTTCATGCCTGGCTCTTTTCTGGCCCTTCAGTCTGAGTGTCTCTGAGTTACTGGCTCATATTAGATGGACTCTCAGTTTTACAGTATGGTTTAATAAAAAGATAATTGTTTGTGTACTTCAAGCCTATGTTGCATTCTAAACAAAAGCACTATCAGGGGGGACAGTCTTCAGAGTATCTCTTGTGATCTGAACTAAAGCACTAGTATGGGTGCATCTATCTGGGCTCAAAAGACAAAGGAAGATTTTAAAGCTGTTTAAAACATGGAGTTGAAATCACTTAAGAGAATAGAGCTCAGTCAGATCTATCCAGAGGCCGTGTTACCCCCATGATAATTCTAGTGAAATGTCTGAGAATAATACAATAGCTTGTGGTATGGTACAGTCAGAACTGGGAAAATTCCTTCCAGTTATAAAGGATAGAGCCGTTGGATAAGCTAAGTGGCATGTAATACTTCCAGTTTAAAGGAAATGGCATAACACGAGTTGTAAAAAATAGGCAGTCACGAGTAAGAATATTTATTAGTGGTTGTCAAATGTTTTTAGCATTTCCAGCATTGTCCTAATTGGTCATAACACAGATTGAATGATGTCACTAAGAAAAAAACTTTGCAATGCTTTTGTTTCTTTCTACGTTCTTACTATGTAAGTAGATCTCTTTAAATGCTTGTGAATAAGATTATAACATATTAGCATAAGCCAAGCAGGAACAAAAAAGTCTAAATATGGATGTAACAAGGAACAGGTGGATCGAATAAACCATTAAGTGTGTATTGTTTTCATCATTTCTTACTTATCATTTACTGTAATGTAAATGGATTACATCAAAGCAACTTGGTCCCAATTTGACATCATCGTATATGACATGATTCTGCTGGCCAGTTTTGTTCTTAGTTGAGTGGACCAAGGATGCATGTTGGGTTTATTCTCCAGGATAGCATATTCCTGCTGGGTAAAGATAATGCTTTTCCTTTGTAATACTTTTTATCTTCTTTTGTGTGGGGATCATTTACATTCTTAGAGAAGTTTGGTTTCAGAAGGGAAGTGTAACTCTGTACTGAGGTGCCTAAAATCATGTAATTCTGTTTCTGAGGTCTTCTGATGGTAATTAAGAGTGAGTAAGTGCTCAAAACATTTTTGAAGCAGCTTAAAAGTAGGTTGAATAGATCTGAAAATTAATTCAATCCAGTAATTAGACAGTATTACTGCATACTGCAGTTGATATTTGAGCTTTGATATTTCAGTAATTGATACCATTAAAAAATAAGAACAATACATAAAACAACTGCATAACAGCCACTTCGGGACTGACTTAACGATAGCAGCGTATATACAGGCCTTTCATGTGGAACTACAGATTCTGGAAAATAAAACATACATATCCAAAGTCAGCTAGTTTAGGTTGCAGAAATACTGTTGTGTTCCAAATTTCCTTTTCATCCATTTTTTAAATGTTAAAGTACTGGTTAGTTCTCTGTCTGCTCTGATATGTCATGCGATGGTCCAAAAAAGCACACAAACTTCTGTGAAAAGATGCACTAAAGCACGTTAATATTGTCTGTGCCTACTTTAAGGTGGCTGTTCTGTCATCCTATAATGTAGAGCATTTTAGTAAGTAAATCCTTGACTCATGCAGGGCATAAATGAATGGCGGTTGATCTGGTTGCCATCAGACTAAATATAAGTGCTTCAGTCAGTTCCTGATGTAGAAAAACCTTACAGCTATATTCAGAGATGAATGGGAAAAAGGGAAAGCCTGTAATTATGGCACCAGATTTGAATCAAATTTGCTGAGACTTCTTAGCTCAGCACAAGCAATTATAAACAAATAAATAGCTACTGTTAAAATACACAACTTCTCCAAAAGAAAGAATAATCAAATATTATTTAACACATTCCAAAAATCTATGACTGTCTATAAACAGGTAACAGTTGAGCTTCATTTCAACTTGTGTATATATTGTGCGTTTTCTGCAGATACTTAATTCTTTTCTACCTCAAAGATTCCTCTTTTCTCTAGGAAAGGCGTTGGTTGGTCCTAAGGTCTGAAAGTGAAGCACCAAAATTTTTGAAACTTCAAAACTTTGGAGACTGTTTTGCAGGGAATCCTGTGAGGTATCTGTAATGCCCTAGGTCAGAACAAGAGGGCTTACCTAACTGTTCATCTAGTTAAGTAAACCAATAACAAAGCAGAACTGATGATTTTGGAAGTGATATTTTTATTACATAACCTTCTTTCCTCTTGCTGTTATTATCTTTGTAATGGATGTGTTATTTTACTTGGATATGGAACAGAAACATCAAACATAACCTTGTTATGTTTTCAATACATCCTTAAATATGGCAGTCGAGATGTATGCATTTCTAGTTAGTTAAAGTCCCCTTCCAACCAGTAGGAGGAAACGTGGATCTTTCAGAAATTCATTTCTTGAGTACAAGGACAAATCTAAAGGTTCTGTTGTACTGCTGTTTAACCAGGCAGCTGGCAGAGTCTGATCAAAGATCCCTTGCATTCTTGCAGACTTGGACTTCATGTCTTTCTTACACTATTTCTGTTTGCCATGCATATTATTTATTATGTGAAACTATGTGTACTCTTCACTGAAGAACTAGATTCTGTTTTTGTTTTGTTTGTAATGAGATTGAACTATTTACTGTCAGTTTGGAGTAAGTTATGAATATTCTTTGTATCCGTAAGAAAAAAGTTCTTTTTTTTGTTTGTTTGTTTTTTCCCTCTCTGGTTCTGGGAGCTTAAGTGAAGTGGAGAGGAAACCAACTTGTTCTGTGAAGCTAGACAAATGGGATTCTGCAGTATTTGCTGCTAAAACTTTTTATGATCCTGCTTGATTTGAATTGGTAGGGATTCCTGTTAGAGAGCGGTCTGATTTCAGTCCTCAAGAAGATTTTCACAATGCTTTCTTCCAGATGCTAAAAGCTGTTCTTCTCTTTGAAGTATACGATGTGCTTGCTGTGATGGTGGTAAGGACTTACTTTTTTTCGTAGATATTTTAATTTTCAAACCTTTGTTGAGTAATGTTTTTAAAAGGCCTTGAGATAAAAAGTATTCTGCATTGTAAAAGCTAGTAAGATAGACACAGAGATTGGTGTGTCTCTGACAGTGTTTCTCTGTTAGTGGTACAAGGAAGCCATGGGGTCCAGGAACTAATTTTTAGAAAGCTGTGAAACACAACTGAAAAAGGCAAATCCGCAAATCGAAAAATGTACTTTTACATATTTGTATGCAAATAGCATAAGTATTTACAATATTAGTGATGTGATATTTCAAAGTGTGTAGATTTCTTCAGAAAGGTATATATTCAAAAATCTAATAGGGAAAAGACACTCCAGAAAGAAAAGGTGCTGAATAAAGCACAATGTAGAACTTGCTGCTTCTGTATCTCATGGATTTCCTTTATTTACATGTAGGACATCTCCTTCTGAAAGCTTTCCTATTCTGTGCTGTTTTCTTTCCTTATATACAATATGTTAGAAGTTGGATGACATTAGGTTACCAAAGCACTTATTTTCATCCTCATTATTCTTGTCAGGCTGATAGTGTATAGAGTGATAGCAAGGAAGTGTTATCCATAACCTAGACCTTGTTAAATGAAATGCTGAATCACTGAGCTCTGGTTAGGGTATGGTATTTTCCATTGGTTAGCATCAGTAAGAGCACAAATGAGTTTCATACTCGTATTCACATAAGTGCAATTGATATGAGGCTCTATCAGAAATATCTGGAAACCCTTCCAAACAAGCTGTGCTAATTAGATGAAAGTTTTAAGTTCTGTTGGAATTAACAGAAACTGACTTTGCTTCTATTCTAGTGGAGTTTGGTTGTGTAAGATTCACTAAAATGCAACGTTATCAAATCCTTTTTGCTTCATTCCCAGGCACAGTGAAAGTTTATCCTAAAAGAGCTTCTGTAGGTCTTAGTTAATTTTTGGTTTAGTCTTAACAATTAATTTTCCATTTTAGTTCTTCTGCTGCATAGTACATGTAAACTTCACAAAGGACTGTGCGGAGAACAAATAGGAGAAGGCTTCTGAAAAGCTGGTTTAGGAATTTGAATTAGCATGCTAAACTTTGGCCACAAGTGGCACGGTGTGCAAGCATTCTCCAAAATAATAAAGAATACAGTTACGGCTCTCAGTAACTACTGTTAATACCATGAGCCATTTCCAGCTGTCTTCTGCAGACACCAAGGCGTTTCAGCAATAGCAGCTGCCCATGTGTCGCTCTTTCAAACAATTTTCAGCAAATCAAATGGAGGAACAGTGTGTTTGTAGTTAAAGGATCCAGATTGCTGGAAGCTGGACAGCGAGTGCATGCTTTACAACAAAAGGTCATAGCTAGATAGGCAGTGTAGCCTATAAATCCCTACTGACATGCTTCATGTTAGTATTTATTTCAACCTAACATCTTTTGAGATTGCAAGGAAATATTACATGCTGTGACTCCACTCTTTGTATTAATTTATTGTGTCACGCTGCATATTAGAAGCCTTGCCATAATATGTTATAAACAGAGGGGGGAACAGTACAGGAGCGCTCATTATTGCAATTTGTCCAACATAGATGTTTTGTAAGAACCTGGAAAATGGGTTCGCCTATTAATAAGAAGTAGCCAAGATGGAATTCTTTCTATTTAATATATTGTGCTAAAATGTGCTTGCAGGGAAAATGTATGGTTCGGTAACGTTAAGACTACATCTTTCCCTTAGTTTCCACTTCAGTCTATCAGACAGACAGAGCCAGACAGCCTTGGCTGGGCTGCTGCTTCTCTGCACCCATGTTTCAGCTGTATTTTAGTGGTTCCCTGCCTGAGCAATGCAGCATTACCTGCATATGAGTGCTGCAGAGCAGAAGAGAGTAGTTTCCCTCCACTGATATGGTGTGGGTGCAGCTAAGTGCTTTGGCTGCCTCTGAGTGTGTGCAAACCACGTGCCCTGCTGTACTTAACTACATCCTGAGGTGGTTATGAGGATCAATTAATGCTGAAATTATTTGAAGATACCAGATGCTTTGTAAGTGCTAATTATTGTATTCAGGTTTACTACAGCTAGGGATTAGGTCTGACTTAGGCAATAGGTGGGGAAGGTGTGAGATGTCTGTGGTGAGGAAGAATCCCAAGTAACAAAGAGTCACTGGGAGCTGAAGCCTCACTGTAGCCTGTTTGTGCAGTTCCATTTAATTGCTTTTAGTAAATTGTCACTCTTTTAGTTCAATTTTGGAGCCTTGATTACTTTTGAGTGTAAAGGGAGTATCTCCTCTTCAGGGTTCCATAGGGAGCCTGTTACATTTTTATGGTTGTGGCCCTGATTACTGCTTTCCTGAGACTGGGCAGCTGTGTGTAGGTACTCTCAAAATGTGGTGAGTTTTTCTCTATAATTTTCTGTCATGATACATTTCATAGGCTGTACTGGCTTTGGAGCATCCTGGAGAAAATTGTTTGCTCCTTGTCTTGGACACTGATGCAAAAAGCACTGCATGAAAAGGCAGGGAGGCAGTCACAAAGACATGCGGAGTTGTTCATTGGGATGAGGAGGAGAGCATGTTTCTGTATTAAAATTCTGATGTCAAGGTCAGTTGTTTTTACAAGTGATTTGCAGACAGTGAGTTGTTAGGGTTCACCACTCTCCTATCTATAAAATGAGGCTAATATTTCTGTTCATCCCTGGGTTGTTCTAAGGGCAAGGTTGTCCCTAGTGGTAAGAGGAGTTTGATGTTAACTTGAGGAAGGACACAGTCCTCATAGAGGGAGAAAAATCATCATAGACTCCTCCTGGTTGGAAAAGACCCGTAAAGTCATCAAGTCTAGCCATTAAATGAAGATGTCAGTGAATAAAAAATCCCTTATTAGGAAGAAATACCTCCAGCAGGCAGGAGGAACACCCTTCCTCCATGTCAGCCACTTTCAGGCAGCTGAGAGAGGTGGGCAATGACACGGTCGCAGTGCCGTACACTTTGATTTTGGTACACTTTGATTTTGATGCAAGCGTGGGGCCTGTGCGTTACGTGGCACCCCTGAGGCCGAGTGGAGCTGCTTACTGACTTAGCGCGCACAGACACGCGCGGCATCTGAAAGTTGGCACAAGTGAAAGCAGCAAGCGGGCTGGAGCCGGTGGCTGCAGCGCGGCAGCAGGCTCGCTCGTTCCTCCCGCTGCTCACGCTCGCACACCAATACCCGCGCGGGACCTTAACGCCCACGGCCCGCTCCTGCCTGCCTGCGGGGGCAGCAACCGGAGCGCGGCCACCTCGGGCCGGGCCGGGTCGGGCTTGAGGGGTGGCCCCGCCCCTGGGACGGGCCGAGCCGCCCCCGCCGGGGCGGAGGGAGGCGTGGGCCGCCGCCTGCCGCCGCGGGGACTCGGTGGCGGGCTGCTGCTGGCGGCGATTCGCGTCCCCTCCCCGGTCCGGCGATGTCCGGCGGGGGCAGCCGGCGGCGGGCCGGTCCCTCCTGGCCCAGCGCTTTCTCCCGCTTCTTCGCCAGGAGCCCCCCGCGCCAGGAGGCGGCGGCGCCCGGGCGGCCGGCGGGCGCGCACAGGTAGGGGCCCGCGCGGCACGGCGAGGTCGGCTCCGCCGTCCCCCCTCGGCCCCGTCCCGCCCGGGGAGCGCGGCGGGCTGAGAGGACGTGGGGCGGAAGGGAGAAGCGGCGGGGCACGGGGCAGGTGGGGCCCGACCTCCCTGCGGGGAGCCGGCCCCGGGGGGAGCGTCTCCTTCTGAAGCCGGGAGACTGCCGGCACGGCTCCTGCCTGCCCCGTCGGTCGGTCGGTTGCGGAGGTTTGGGGTTCGGCGCGTCGTTTTTAACGCAACGCTACTTTGGGAAGGGTGAGGCGAGCCGGATGCGGGCTGGAGTGGACGCTTAGGTTCTGGGTGTGCGGAGGAGTTTCCGTGGGAGCTCAGCTCAGCGAGCATCAGCGCTCGGTCCTGGCGCAGCGCAAGCCCTGAGCCCTGCCGGCAGGGAGCCCAGCGCTGGGGGTCAGCCGGCGTGCGGCCCCGTCCGCGGGGACAGAAGGCGGCCGGGGTGGGGGCTCGCTTCCTTCGTACAGCATTCACACCCCTCCGCGTTCTCCCGGGCTGCTCTAAATCGGATGGTAATGCGGTATAAATATTAGTGGGGTGTTTAAGGCTCTATGCAAAATATGTGGTCTCTGGTAACCTGGTTGTTAATAATATAATTTTTTCTTTTTTTTTTTTTTCCTGCTGGCTTGTTTCTTCATGTAGATAGGAAAGAACCACAGATAAAGTTTCCTTCTGCTTCTTGTGGAGTCTTATTATTGGTCTGAGTGAATGAGCATGTTTTTGTGGTGAGGAGGTGTCAGCTGGCAAGGCCTCATTTCCTCAGGTGTACGACTTATTCATTTTGCTTTTAGCATGTCGGTTTTAATCGTTTTGAGTCATTCTTGTTTCTGCACATGTTTGTGCCTCCACAGGCAAATAAGCAAACTTTAATCAGGTATCTTGGTGGTTCTTTCTTACCAGTCATGAAAAATTGCAGAGTGCATTGTTATGTTACACTGACTACCGTATGTTCTCTTTTTAGGTGGTCTTGTAAATGGATTGTGAAAGTATTTAACTTCAGGGTTTTTTTTTATTGTACCACAACTGCTTTGCATTTGACACACCAGCACATTGCCAAGGATCCAGCAGCCTTTCTCAAGCACAGATATTTTCATTTCCTGCAAAAAAAATCAGGAGTGATGCTGTTGAATCACAAGCACCTTCACCACTAAGCAGCACAGCATCACCCCTGGAAGGGTGGTTGAGATGTGGCAGAAAGTAAAGGCTTGAAAGTGGCTTGGGACATGGAGAGGCGGTAGCAGAGGTGTTGCAGAATCACTAAGGTTAGAAAAGACCACTAAGACCACCCAGTCCAACCACCAACCCATTCCCACTATGCCCACTAACCACATCCTTCAGTGCCACATCCTCACAGTTCTTGAACACCTCCACGGACAGTGACTGCACCACCAGCCTGGGCAGCCTGTGCCACTGCCTCACTGCTATTTCAGAGAAGAAATTTTTCTTCATATTCAACCTGAATCTTACTTGGCACAACTTGAGGCCATTACCTCTCATCATGCTTCCTCCTCACCAGCTGTGGCTGAGACTAAGCAAAAAAGCCCGGTGGTCACCTGGGTGAGGGGAGCAGGGTGATGCCGATTTGGTGGTTTGTGAGTGAGATATGCTATCTGTGGTGTGTCCTCGTGGTAGACCTGCAGCACATAACTTGGGGCTGGAGCCAGTTATCTTCGTGTAAATCACAGTTTCATTTCCTGCAGCCAAGACTCCTGCCTTTCTCGAGCGGTTCCCAAGAGGTATGAGAAGGCTCGGCCTCCTGGCCTTCTGCATGACCTCCCCACACGGGGCAGTCACTGCCGCAATTCCTCTCGAAGCAAGCAAAATTCCTGCAGCTGAGAGGAGCCCAATTTGGTATGTTAAAGAGCTTTTTTGTTGCACCAAGCTGCGGGCGGTGCGTTCGCCTGGAATGCTGACGCTCTCGTCTTTGGTTTCCACTGACAGCCTTCTCCATAGATTAGCGTAATTGCATACATTAGCAGTGCCAGGCTGAAGTGAGCGGCCCAGGTTGGCTTGGTGTGCTGCTTCAGTGAGCGTTGGGTGCGGAGGAATAGATTGCTGAACAATGGGGGAGCTGAGGCTCCTGTGTGTTTGTTGTTCAGGTGTGGAGAGCAGGAGGCGGATGGGGAATGTGGCTCTTGAGAAGCCTTGTCAGGACATATGCGCTGTGGTGATTAATTTCCTGTTGGAACGATGCACGTTGGAACCGGATCAAATCAGAAGTGTGTAGCATGAAGCTTTTCTGTCGAGATACTGTACCTGGTGTTGAGTTTCAGAACAGCAGAACTACTAAAGAGAGGGATCAGGAGGTGGAGTGCAGTGGTGTGCAGGGCCGCGTATATCTGCAGTGTATCTGCACTGACCTCTAGAGAAGTGCATCACGCTTCATGTATCCTGTGCTGAATATACTTATTTGTAAATTTTGCAAGTGTGAGGGGATGAGCCCGTCACGTCCAAAAGTCATTCTCCACCTGCTCCTTACCACTGGTCTGCACTGATTATTTCCATCAGCAAGTGTCATGGTGGCAGAGGACGTCTGTTATGGACTCAGACTGCTTTTACATACAAGTTAAGTAAATGTGAATTATCCTTCACCTAATGCTTGCCTTTGTCATTGCTACTTGCTATTCTCAATAATATAAAATAGACACTGTGGTTACAAATACCTGTCTTGGGGCAGTCTACATCCCAATGTTTGGAAAATCCTATTTGATTTTCATAATTCTAACAGGAGTCTGATTTATTCAGTTAGTTATTAATACAGGTTTCTTTAGACTACCTGGATGAAGATACAGCTTTTACAAGACAGTCTCTTGCATAATTCTTTCAGGACTGCACAGCTGCCATGCTTCAGCAATTGTCCTGTTGAAAGTGAATGTGACCTACTAGGTCACCTTTAGAAGCTGGAGGTGTGAAGTTTCACCAGTAGCTTTAAGCCAGAGCTACCACCAAAATTTTATATATAGTTTGCACTTCATATTGTGTAGCAGATTCATTTCAGGTTTATCTTTTTCCCTCTAAGTGCCATTAGTTGGTCAAATAACTACCAGCACAAGTGGGCCTTTGTTGGGCTTGTCGAGATACTTTTTTCTGTGTTGCTGAAGTGTATCAGAAACATCAAACAGGGAAAAACAACCTTTTATTTGGTTTCAGAGAGCCTTTTTCTCTCTCTTTTTTTTTTTTTTCTTAATCGACATTATTGTTCCGTTCATCCATTAGTTTCTAAGTGAGAGCTTTCAGGGGTGGAAGAACGTTGTTTATACTGCCTAAGGAGAGATTAGAGAGTCCCTTTCTTCCTCTGGGCTTGCCAGTCATTGTTCCTGTTTATAAAGCGCATGTATTTTTGTAGTGGCTTAAAAAAAAAAAATGTATTTGGGAACTACCAGGAATGGATTGAAAGGGGAGCAATGCATTTCAAACTCATTCACCCAGCAAGGCTTTGGATGTCCCCTCCCTGGAGGCATTCAAGGCCAAGCTGGATGGGGCTTTGAGCAACCTGGTCTAGTGGGAGGTGCCCTGTCTATAGCAGAGGGGTGGAATTAGGTGATTTTAAGGGTCCCTTCCAAACTAAATCGTTCTATAATTCTGTTTCTTCTAAACTTGCTACCTCCTGGCTGGTTTTGATTCATGTGCTGTTGGCATCTTAGAAGAAATCCATTGTTTGCTGGAAAAAAAAAAACCTCTTTTTGCATAAAGACACTCTTCCTTTCAAAAGGCAAAGGGACATTTTATTATTACTATTAAGTTCCAGCTCGTTTATGAATGTGCAGCAGAGGTGATGGTTTGTGGAACCAGCAAGGGGAAGACTCCAGTTATTTAGAAGAACTCAAACTTACCAAAGCATGACACGTTATGAAAAGTTTCTGTTCACTTATGTTTGACCTTTTTTCCGTTTCTTTTTATTTCCTTGATCTTTCTGCTGTGACTGTTATCTCAGGATGATTCAAAAGTGTAGCAAAGATCCTGATTCAGCAGATTACCAAAATGGTTGCCTACACTTATTCTGTATCATGCTACAGAGGGGCTCCTCGTTTGATTAAAATCAGGTGTAGATGCCAATGTCTCGTGGGAGCAAGACCAGAAGGAGCAAGCTCAACAGCTGGCCTTGTGATTGTGAGACATTTCCTAGAGGAAATGTTACTGGAACATTAATTATAATGGTAGCACTCCTTAAAAGAAACAGACCTACTTTTTATGTGTTAACAATGCTGTCTCCTTCCAGTTACGTTTGTAATTATTGTCAGATATTCAGAGTATCTATAAATCATTGGTTTTAAGGAAGTCTAACGGAGGTGAAAACTAATCCATCAGCAGGTGAACAGAAGACTCGCAGGTGGGGAAAAAACAAAGCTCAGGAATATAGTGCTGTATTTCTGATTATCAAAACTTCTTACAGAGATGACCCAACCACTTCTGTTTTCTGAAGGTTTTTTGGACTGCATGCAGTTCAGTGTGTGCTAGTGTATACTGTTATGCTTCCAGACAGTAGCAGTGCTACATTGCTTACCCTGTAGGCTTTCCTGAGGATATTACTGCATCTGTTCTTTCTATTATTTTAATTTTCATTTCTTAAATCATTTGTACTAACTTTACAATATTACATAGTATTGCTTTTGAAGGACTTGCTGCATTTTGCTGGTGACCCTGGTGTCCTTTGGTTGTTTTTCTGTTCCTTTTCTTATTGCCTTCTATTATAAATTTAGTTAAACCCTATTTGTCAAGAGCAAAGTAAGTACTTTTTTAATGTCTTCCATTTTCTTGTCATTTGTAAGCACCATTGCTGACTACCAGCCCTTCAAATATGTGTCTTTTGAAAGTAGTTGTATAATGGCCTGTATGTTCTCTATTAACTCAATAATTTTAACCTTAAATAGTTTCTGAATCTGCTTCTGATATTATACCAGGTCTAATATGTTAGCTGCAAGAAACATTTATTTCATAAGCATGCTGAAATCTTGAATGAAC